ACATAAAGCAGTGTGGGGGGGACGCCTGACACGGGAGGTGTTCATCAAGTGGCTTTTACTAATATCTTTATTTATTATGGTCCTACCATCTGGCCAGGGGTTCCTAAAGAGGACAACCCACTGTGGAGGTGCAAAGGCCCTGGAGCAGGAGAGGAAGCAGCATATTTGAATGTCCCAATGCAATAGTCACAGCATGGCCACACGCACTCACCGGGGATGGAACCCAGGGCCTGGCACACACTGGACAAGCACGTTGCCACCCAGCTGCACCCAGCCCCACTCCTTGTTCTTAAAGACACAGGGAGGCCCGTGTCAAACACAATGATAAAGAATGTCCCAGAAAACATCCTGCAATCTGGCTGCTACTCCTCCCTCTGCCCTCCCTCAGCCCAGATCTGCTGTGTGACTCTGGGTAAATTACTTCTCCCCTCTGAGCCTCAAATTTCCTCATCTTTAACATCAGGGCATTAGATGGTTGGTGTTCTCTCCCCTCCCCTCTGCAGCTCTGACTGGCTACCGGGGACACCTCTTGGCCTTGTGAGCAACCCCTGGTTGTTTTCATGACCCCAAGAAACCAACAGTCTGCATTGAAGGGGATGAGTGGCCAGCTTCTCAGCACCTTGACCCCCAGGGGCTGGCTATAGGGCAGCTAGATAAACTGTTTATCAGCCCTGGACCTCGGGGGATTCTCTGAAAGTCAGAGTCATTCAGCCTGTCGGCTGACCTCCTGCTGTGAACGGGCTCCTCAGCTTGGCCCAGGGACCCTGTAAGACACAGGGGCTCTACAGGGTCCAGGTAGGAGGAACGCCAAAAATCCAGGAAGGAAATGCGCTGTGCCTTAGTTTGGGGGGGGCTGAGGTGGGGAGGGGCCCCTCACCCCTGTGGAAGTCACTTTCTCTCCAGAAAGGGCTCATTAAGTTTTGCAATCCCATGCACCAAAGCCCAGGCCTCCCTGGGCCCAGCTGCCCACCCAGAGACCAGGAGAAGCCCCTGGCCCTCCCGGGACCAGGCAGGCCCTGCCCCCACACTCCCTTCGCAGGGGCACAGCATAGGATGCGGCCTTTCTGAAGTGCCCGGCTGTGGCTCAGCCACACCCACAGGCGGCCAGGCCAGCTGCCCAGAGACTCACTGCCAGCCCCTGAGCGACCAGAGTGGCTGTGCCCATGGCAACGGTCATCCGAGGAGAAAGGCACCTGGCCTCAGGTTTCTGCCCCAGGGAGATTCCAGAAGAGCCTCATTGAAGGTGGGTCCTGGGCAGGGTGGGGCCTCCAGACTCGGACAGAAGCCAACTCTTTGCAGGAACCAAGGTATACAAACTAGCTCACTGTCTCCAGCCTCCTCCTGTCCCGACTCCAGGGATTCTTGGGAAGTGGGGGGGGGAACTGCTGTCTCCTCAGGCAGGCTTCAGAGGACCCTGCCCCTTGTCAGCTGTGTGACCCTGGGAAGGTGTCTTCACCTCTCTGAGCATGCTTCCTCTCCTGGAAGACCAGGAGTACCTGGCACACAGTAAGCACTACATAAGTGCCCACGTGTTAGCTCCAGTACTTCCCCAGCCCTCTTTGCCCAATTACCTCCTTTGGCATGGCTGGAGCCCATCCAAGGCACGACTAGAATTCCTCCCCCAGCCCCCTCTCCATCTCATCCAGGCAGGTGTGGGCGCATGTTGCTCTAGCGGCTGGAGGGTGTGCTTGGAATTCAGAAGAGCTCTAGTTCAAACTGCACCACCAGCCGCAGCTACCTCTTTGGAACAAGGATGCTCCGTTTGCCTCTCTGCAAAATGGGCAGGAGGCCCCCTCCCACAGCAGAGGCCCCATCCCTCATTTTTACAGATGAGGCTCAGAAGACAGGTTCAGAGAGGCAGGGTCACCTGTCCAAGGTCACACAGCTTAGAAGTCTAGCAGAAACACACCTAGAACATTTTGACCCCAGAGACCACGTTCTTTTTAATCCTTTATAACAGCTTTATTGAGATACGCAACTCACCCATCCAGGGTGGTTATTCAGTGCTGTGTAGTATATTCGGATGAGAGCGAACATCACCACAGTCGATTTCAGAACACATCACCCTAAAATAAAACCCCCAACTCTTTGGTCATCACCCTGGACCTAAAGCTATGGATTTGCCTCCTGTGGACATTGCCTATAAGTCCCTCTTCTGTTCCACTTCTCATCCTTTCTGAAAGGCAGAAAGGTTCCAAAGAACCCAATTTCCCCCCACTTTTTTTTTTATTGTGGTAAAGACTTTATCTTACCCGTTGTGTGTGTGTGTGTGTGTGTGTTCGTGTGGGTGCTGGGGATGGAACCCAGGGCCTCGTGCATGGTTGGCAAGGGCTTTACCATTGAGCCACATCCCCAGCCCTTTTTATTTTTTATTTTGACTCAGGGTCTCACTAAGTTGCCCAGGCTGGCCTCGAACCTGCGATCGATCCTCTTGCCTCAGCTTCCCGAGATGCTGGGATGACAGACATGCTCCATTGAACCCGGCCATTTTGAGCATTTTTAAGTGCTCAGTTCAGTGGTAGTAAGTATATTCATGTTGTGCTACTATCACCACTGACCAGAGCCAGAACTCTGCATCTTGCAAACTGGAATTCTGCGGGGCGTGGAAGCACTGTAATCCTAGTGGTTGGGGAGGCTGAGGCAGGAGGATCCCAAGTTGGAGGCCAGCCTCAGCAATTTAGTGAGGCCCTAAGCAATTTAGTCTCAAAATAAAACATAAAAATAGACTGGAGATGTGGCTCAGTGGTTAAGAACCCCTGAGTTCAATTTAAAAAAAAAAAAAAGTGAAACTATACAGAATAAAGGAGAATGCCACATTCTCGCCTCCCCACAGCTTCATGGACAAGCACTTGGGGTCAGGGGACACTGGGGATTGAATCCCAGGGTGCTCACCACTAAGTTACATTCCACCCCTTTTTAAAAAAGAATTTTTTTTCACTAAATTGCTGAAGCTGGCCTCCAACTTTGGGTCCTCTTCAGCCTCCCAGGGGTTGGGATTCCAAGCCTGCGCCATCGTGCCCAGCTCTACCAGCACCTCTGAGAGCATCTGCTAAGTTCCAGGTGCTGGTCCTGTTTCCTGGAACGGGGCACCTGTGTCCCCTGCTTCATGGAAGTGAAGGGCAATGTTCAGAGGGGGTCTGAGAGGGCGGCTCCTGCCTGCAGCTCCCACGTGATCCCCGGCAGGCAGGGAGACGTTGAAATTCAGGCCTCCAGACCAGAGGCTGATCTCTGGCCTCCAGCCCAGGACGTCTTCTGGCATGGGGGTGGGGGGGTCTCAGTGGCCCTGTCTGTCAAATGGGGCTCCTGCCCCTTTCCTCCCACCTGGGAGAGGAGCAAGTTCCAACCCTGGCCCCAGATCCTTTGGTCTCCAACCTGGCTCAGCCCCAGCCCTGGCCCCAGCTCCACCTGGGGAAGGCCCCCCCCCAGTGGCCCAGCTTCAGGGAGGCGCCAGGGGCCCTGCACACATTCCTCACCTCCTGCTGCTTGCTCTGCGGGCCACCCAGGAGGGAAGGCTTCCATTGGGCTCCCCACCCCCACCCCCACCAGGGAGGCCTCCGCTTGTGGAGGGGCCACTGTCATCTCCAAGCCTCAGTGTCCCATCTGCAGCTCGGGCACACAGTCCCAACCTCACAGCCTGGTTGGTGTGTGTGTGTGGGGGGGCTTCCTGGGCCACGCCCCCTCCTCCCCGACGTGGGAGTTGACTATTAAGGTTTCTTTGCAGATGTTTCACCCTGGTGGCTTGAAAGCATCGCTTCTGGTCAGGGTTTGGGTCTGTCTGTCTGTCTGTCTCCAACAATGCTAAAACCCCACTTTCCACCGCTGAGCCTCCTGGGGGATATTGCTGTCTGCAGCCCCCCTCCAGCGAAGATGGCTAGAGTGTCCCCGGCTATGCTCACACCTGGTGCTCCCCGCAGCGGGGCTGTGCCGGGAGGAGTGCACTCCCAGTCCCCGCTGTCCCGTGTGGAAACCTGGGCCCCGGGGAAGGACCTGCCCGGGCCCCTGGGCCGCTGAGGGGTGGAGCACCATTTGGGCTCAGGGAGCCTGATCCAGGGCCAGCACCCCTGCGTTTTCCGACCCGCCCGTGGGGGTGCTCCAGCGGACCCAGGGCTGGGTAGATGGGGGTCACTTTTGTCACCGCCCCCCGCCAAATAAAAGACAGGCGTTGATCGTCCCCTCCTTGCCAGGCTCGGGCTACAGGCTGGCTAACGACGTGAGGGACATGCCTGTCAATCAGGTGCCTCTGCTGTCGGCTGGGAGCTGGCTGGGGACAGGGACCCACGGCCGGCCATCCTCTGAGCGGAATGACTGCAGAGCCACCCAGGAAGCCCGGGACCAGCCGAGGAAGCGCTCCCCGGGCCGCCGCGGTCACCGAGCAAGCGGCCGGCGGCGCCCGGACCAGCTGGTGTCCCCCCAGCGCGGGACCCTGCGGCCGGGGATCGCGATGCCCATTTTCCAGGGGGGGAAACTGAGGCCGACGCCATCCCGAGCCCGGCGGGGCTGCAGCGGGGCCTGGAGGGCGCTGGCCGCCTGCGCCGGGGGCGGCGGGGCGCGGGGCGCGGTGGCGGCGCGGGGGGCGTGGTGGCCTGGGGCGGCGCGGCCTGGAACCTGAGCCGGGAGGCGGGCCGGGCTCTCCGCGGCCGGGATTCAGGAAGCCGCGCTCCCGGCCGCCGGCGCCCAGCCGTCCCGGAGGTGAGTGCGTCGGGGCCCGGGAGGCTCGGCCCAGCGGAGGTCCCCTCGCCCCTCTGGGGACCGTTCCGTGGCCGATCCGGCCCCCGAGGACCCCAAAGTCCCCCCGGGGCGCGCGGGAGGAGAGGGCAGGCTCCGGTCCCTTTGGCGCGCGACTGGATGTCCTTGGGCCACGCATCACCTCGCGGGCCTCGGGCGAATCACTTGGGGTCGTGTGGGTCGGGTCCCCAAGTCCCCAAACCAAAGGCCCCCGTGGCCCACTCAGGCAGGATTCCGCTCTGCCGGGTGGCGGGGTGTGGGGTGCAGGGGGAGCTGCAGTTGGCCCTTGGCTCTGAGCAAGTTGGAAGAAACTAGAAACATGGACCTTCCAAAGGCCACTTCTTGGTTACTGAGTACCAGAAAGATGGCCCTGTCCCCCCAGAGGCAGGGAAATCTTTAACCCCCAGCTTCACCCTGGAGACTGCGGTTCAGCATGTCTTCCCCTGAGGACAGGGAGACCACCCACATCCCTGCGTGCCCAGGGACACCAAGCACCGAGCGCTGATGGAAGGACTGACTGCCCCAGTCTGGCCCCAGACAGGCCCTCTGTCCTTCCCATTTTGCAGATGAGGAAACTCAGGCTGGCTCCAGGGTGGGGGTAGAGCCAAGTGAACTTGTACCCAGGGACTGACTGGCTCCAAAGCCCTCCTCGCCACACTAGGTGTCCTGTCCCCAAGCCAGCTCTGCACAGAGTGGCGCTCACAGAGTGCCCAGGAAGTGACCCGGAGGAGGTGGACCCTGTGGTTTTTCTGGCTCCTCTTCTAAAACAAGGGCCTCTGCTGGGGGAGGGGGACCGCGAACCCCTGGAATTCTAAGGAAATGTCATGTGTGAGCTTGGTTTGGGGACCGTCAGGAGTTAATCATTGCCACCCAGGGCAGGGGGCCACTCAGCCCTGTCCTGAGAAAGGTGAGGGGCTGGTCTCTTCAGGGAGAGGTGTGAAAGTCACAGAGCCCTGTCACCTGCCACGTGAGGAGCCCGCCCTGGTGGACAGTCCCTCCTGTGTGACCTTGGGATGGTCCCTCAGCTGTCTGACCTCCCTTCCTACTAATACACGGAACAGTGTCCTGTGAGAAGCCTGGCCGTCAGGCTCAGGGCTGCCCATTGTTCTTGTTATGTGTTTATAGTGGAGAAGGTGACAAGACAATCTGTCATTTCCTGTCCTTCCTCTGGCCTCTTTGCGTGCAGGATGGTGGGGACCTGAAAGGCCGGGGGACCCTTCCTTCCCACCTTTCTGGCGTGTCCCAGAGAAAATCCCAAAGGCCATCATGGCCCATCTGGCTCCTTCTGTGAAACCAGGGTGGGAGGTGTGGAAAGGGAGTTCTCCAGGGAATGAATGGCCCCTTGAGAAGAGGATAGGTCCCCGGGATGGACACTGGCTATTGAGAACATGCCTGGAATTCCACAGGAAATGCAGACACCTTCCTCTGGGAAGGACCTCAGAGGCTCCTCGGGCCTGACCCGGTGCTAGCCAGTCTTCCCTGAGAGTCGGGCCAGCGGGGCTGGGCCCTGGAGCACCCAGGTACCCAGACCCCAGCCTAGCTGTACCCCAGAAGGTACAAATGGAGAAAGAGCCGTCCCTCCCTGAGCCTAGGATGAGCGGATGAGCGTGCGAGTGTGCGGTAGGTGCTTGGTCAATGCGCGCTGCTGAATGAATGGGGCCAGAAGGTAATGCTGGAGGGAGGGGGGCAGACCGAGGGGGGGGTCAAGGAACATTTGATCAAGTTGGTGACTGCGCTGTACCTTAGAGAGCAAATGCAGAGCTAGAGGAAAGGGCATTGAGGTACAGGAGGAAATGCACCAGCCAAGACATGGCTTTACCTGTCACCCAGTGGGAGAGCCTGGTATTCGGAGGGCAGAGACGTCAATCATGCCCTGGATGTGGAATGGAAACACTGTGCCTGGCACGCAGTAGGGACTCTGTAAATATCCCTTTTGTGATTGATTGAACAAATCCTTTTGGGGGGGTAGGCATTGGGGATGAAGCTTAGGAACTCCATCCCCAGTCCCTGAACAAATACTTTTGAGCCTTTGAACTCCTTCTTGTGCTCCTAGGGGGATGGGGTCCCCCCAGCATGGGTTGGAGTCTCTACCTCTCACAGTCCCCTGACCCCCGCCGTGTGCCTCTCTCTCTCCTTGTTTGACTCTCTTTCCAGTTTTAGGGATCCAGAGAACAACTTTCTTTGTGTTTTCCTGGGTCTAGGGAACCAGGGAACATTTATTTCAGGCCAGAGGGCCCTGGAGAATGCTCTGCATCATTGATTTGGAGCAGAATTAAATTCAGTTAAAGATTAATGCAGATCTCTGGAGGTCCTGTGGTCCCGGGGCCCCTGTGGCCACTGCTTGAACTCTAGATGCAAATCTGTTTAGCCAAACCTGGGCTGGGCTGGTAGATATTTAATGGGAGCTCGAATTTTTTTGTGCATCAGGCACTGAGCCAAGCCCTTTGAGTACACTTGGATACAAAACCGTTATTGTACCCATTTTTCAGAGGGAGGAACTTTGTGTCTGCAGGATGAAGTAGGTGGCTGAGCGCCTCAGTTGGGAAGAGGCAGAGCTGGGATCTGAGTCCCGTTTGTCTGATTCCAAAGTCTGGGGAGCTTGGGGTAAGTGACTGGTCTGTCTGAGCCTCGGTTTCCTCATCTGCTAAACTCTGGGTCCCCTCTTTGCGAGGATGCCCAAGGCACAGAGATGGGCTGAAGCTCAGGCCTTCTCGTCACCCGGTGCTGGCTCCTTGGCCCCGGCCTGTTCCAGCGAGGTGTGTCTTCCCGGGCGGGCATCCTCCGAGATCCCTTCTGTGCCAGGCACCAGCAGGGGCAGAGCTAGACTTGCATTTGGACAGAGGATGATTCCTTCAGCCATGAAAGACTCCAGGGTGCTGACTGAGCGCCAGGGACCCGGCGTTGCCTGCTTTCTGGATTTTAATGCTTAAAAGCGAGGGCCAGAGTCCAGCGGCCCAGGGGCTGATTGTGGTGATAAATCTCCTTACACTTCGGCCTCAGTTTCTCCTCTGTGCGGTGGGGACGGGAGAGTGCCTGGCTCCGTGGGGTGGTTCGGGACAATCTCCAGCCCAACGTTGATTCTTCAGTTTATAAGCAACATCTGTCACCTGTGAACAGGTGACACAGCCCCACCCCCACTGGAGATGTCTGGGCATCTGAAAGCTGAGACCCCTTTGACAGTGAGGGACCTGAGTCTCAGAGGAGGAAGTAGTTTACCAAGTCACCTGGATCATGGCAAAAGAATATCTGGAAGTCAGATCCAAGTGACTCTGGCCCCTTTGGGTCCCAGAAAAGCCAATGACTGTTTTAGCTTCCTGCCATCTTGGAGTCTGACCCCACCTTGGTTTACCTTCCAGATCTGCCACTCACTGCTGTGTGACCTCAGGAGGTGGCTTGATCTCTCTGTTCCGGGGCTGCCACCCAAAGTTTCCTGGAGGTCAGACTTCTGCCAGATTGAGGGCACTTAGATTGTTTTGGATGCCACTCCCCTGGACTGGCCTGGCTCCCACTGCCTCAAGTTCCCTTGTGTCCCATGAGTTAGCCACTGAGCCATTTGGATCCTGTGGTCTGGCCGGGAAGGAATGAGGAAGGGAGATTGGCCATCACTTTCACTATGACTCTAACTTCCACTCCTGAGTTCCTTCCTGACCATCAGCTTCTTCTTTTTGCCCCAAGTTCTGGGTACTGCTGGCTGTGTGACCCCAAGGAAGTCACTATGCCTCTCTGAGTATGTTTCCTCATTGGTAAGGGAGGGTCCCTCAAGACGTGCTGGGCACACAGGCGGCCCTTGTGGGTCTGCTCTAGATGAGGTCAGGGTGTTGGAAAGGCCTCAGAGGGTGGCAGGGGTGCGGATCCTGAGTCTAACGGGAGCACTCATATTTTTCTTGGGGTGGTGAGTAACGGCTGCCCTCCCGCCCTGCCTGCCCGGGACAAAGGGCTCCTCAGTGTCCCCGGTGCCTGCTTTTCCCTGACAGTGCCGTGGCCTGGGCTCCACCCAGTTGACCAGGAGAGCTGACCACCTTCTGGGACAGCTGCTCGTGTGTGAGTGTGTGTGTGTGTGTGACGGGGTGGGCAGGTGTGCGTGGGACGGCAGGCACGGTGCTGCTGCCCTCGGGTGGGGACCCCTGGTCCTTCTCCATCTCCCCGTGGCACAGAGGAGGGCCGAGGAGGGGGAGAGAAGGAGGAGGGACTGACAGACCAGCAAGGCAGGCCACAGAAGGAACCGCCTCTCAGGCACAGGCCGCGGCTCTGAGACGAGTGGGCTGGGCCGGGGCCTGGCCTCGCCGAGCCTCAGTTTTCTCATCTGTAAAATGGGCTCATGATGGCTGTGGATCTCAGGTCAGAGAACCCTGTATGTAGTAGGTGCTCAATAAACCGCCCATTCGGGGCCAGGAAGGAGAAAGTCGGCCAGGTTCCCTGGGTAGAGGCTCAGCTGGAGGCCGTCGGCCCCAGGGGGAGGATGACTCAGCCAGTCTTTGCCTCCTCATCTGCCAGGCCGCATTCTAGGCCTGGGGGACAGAAGAGTCTGTGTCCCTCTGATACTTTCCTGAGTGACACCGCTCTACACCCAGTGCCAGGTGACCCCGTGCTGGGTCACTGTCATGAGCTCCTTTGTAGAGAGGAGGAGTTTGGGGGCTCAGAGGGGTGAAGTGACCCACCTGAGGTCACACAGCTACCCAGGGACAAAACCAAGATTCAGACAAGACTCGGAGCTCATCCCTCGGAACACCCCCTTCCCCCTCGGGGTGACCTCGGCTGGTCTCTGACCCCAGTCTGCTTCTCTGTGGAAGGGGACTGCGTCCTCCCTGGGTCTGATGAGCAAGGTAGCGGCCCTGAGCAGGCTCGAGGTGTTGGGGAACATCATCAGCCCCGTCTGGCTTTCTCCCACGACTCAGTTTATTCCCCTGGGAATGGAGACATGGCCCCAGCTGCCCGGTTAGCGCTGCGTGACCACGGAGGGTGCCTTGGGGCTGCCCAAGCTGCAGGCCCAGTTCCAAGCAGCCCCCGTTGGCACAGGCTGGCAGGGAGGGTCCGAACTGGTTTTGTGTTCCCTGAGCTCCCTGCCCTGAGCCCGGCTCCTGCTTACCGTATGCCAGACGGGAGGTCAGACTCTTGGATCAGAGTGGTTAGTTCCCTCGACAGCCTTTGGAGTAAGTGGGAGCTGTGATCTTATTTTTTAATTTAAATGTTCAATACTCCAAATAATTAGGGAGTGAAGATGGGCCACCCCTTCCCGGATGGTAGTAATTGTCACACCCATTTTACAGGGGAGGAAACTGAGACCCAGAGGAGGCAGGTAAGGAGCAGAATATAGATCAGGTGATGTTTCAAGATTACAGAATCATCTCTTGGGCTGGGGGCTGTGGTGGCACATGCCTGTGATCCCAGCTACCAGGAGGCTGAGGCAGGAGGATCCCAAGTTCAAAGCCAGCCTCAGCCACTTAGGGAGGCCCTAAGCACCTCAGTGAGACCCTGTCTCTAAATAAAAAAACAAAAGGGGGTAGGGGTGTGGCTCAGTGGTTCAGTGCCCCCGGGTTCAATCTCCAGTGATGTAAAATTTTTAAAAAATTATCTTTTGGGGTTCTCTGGGGGCTGGGGTGATCCTCCAGGAGAGGGAGGCCCACGGGCCTCAAGGCTGAGTCTGAGAGGGTGGAACCTCGGCCGGGGTCTGGTGGGAGGACAAGGGAAGAAGGACCCTGAGCCTCCCAGGCAGGGGCTTCATATCCTCAGGCGGGACCCTGTGCTGAACCTTCACGGGGCTTTCATCCTCGAGCATCCGGTGACGTAGCAGAAACTGAGGCTTGAGGTGGGAGGTGACTTGCCCAGGGTCACTGGGCCTGGAAAGGTCCTTGGGTTTCTTGTTGTTTGTTGGGTGCTCGGGATGAACCCAGGGGTGCCCAACCACTGAGCCCCGGCCCCATCCTTTCTACATTTTATTTAGAGACAGGGTCTCGCTGAGTGGCTCAGGGCCTCACTAAGTTGCTGAGTCTGGCCTCAAACCCCTGATCCTCCTGCCTCAGCCTCCCAGGCTGTGGGGATGACAGGTGTGTCCCACAGCGTCTGGCTGGAAGGCTCATTTGTGATTCACATAGGACACAAATCGGCTTTTTAAAGTGTCTGACGCAGTCCCTCAGCGTGTGTGGAGTGGCACAGACAGGGCCACTGTCCAACTCCGGAACCTTTCCTCACCCAGAAAGGAGCCCGTACGCCCCAGCCCACGGCACCGCGTCCCACCTCTGGTGACGAGTCTGCTTCCTGCCCGTTCTGGGCATTCAGGGCCTGGAATCCTGCAGGACGTCCCTGCTCCTCACCTCTGAGCCTCCCCAGCCTCCTCCGGCCTCCCCAGCCTCCCCAGCCTCCTCGGACCTCCCCAGCCTCTCCAGCCTCCCACCCCCCTGCCTGGGGTCCCCTGGGAGCGTCTGGACGCAGCTCAGAACCCACCTCCAGGGCCTTGCCCTCCGGGGGGCCTGGTGCTGAGTCACCCCACCTGCCCCGCCTGGGTGGCGTGAGCTCCGAGGGGGACACCCTGGTGGGTGGGGGCGACCCCACAGGACACTGGGGCTCTGTGTGCGGGGACAGGCGGCCAGTGTTCAGGCAGGAAGCGGGCAGGGCGAGACCTGCTGGGTAAACACGGCTGGGAAGGTGGCGGCCATGGCCCGGTGCCCTGCCGCCGCCCGCCGGGCCCTGGAGCCGTGGGCAGCCTGGCGGCCACCGGGTCTCACCGGCCAAGGGGCCGCGTTCCAGCCCCAGCGGCAGCTGCCAAGTTCACCCCGGGCTCTGTCCAGCCCTGGCAGTCACACCTGCCTCGTCCCCGTCTGTGACACTGTGGCAAGAGAGCTGAGGAGGCCCAGGGGACACTTAACCCTCCCCCAGGCTGCTGCAGGTGGGGATGGCCGGTCACAGGAAGGCCTCAGAGTCACCCGCCTGGCGACCTGGTGTCCCCCAGCCCCCCCAGTCTTCCCCAGCCCCTCCCCTGCCCCTCCCCAAGTCCACACCCACGACCCGGGGCCACCCAGGCTCTAGACCCAGTGCCCCGCACTGGGCCGGTGGCTTTGCCTCTCTGGAAGGCGATGGGGACACATCAGGTGTCACTCTGACCCCACAAACCCTGGGGTCCCTGTCCCCCCCCCCCGGTCCCTTTCCCACCCACGTCACCCACTCCAAGGCCAAGCTGGAGGTGGGGGCCCACGGTCCTGCAGGAAGCCGGGACCCCACGGATCAGTGAGCAGCCCGAGCTCCTGCCCAGCCCCTGTCTCTCTGTCCCTCCTGCCCCGGCCACACTGGTCCTTGGTGCCCCCTGTCCTGCTCCCTTCCCACCTTTGTCCTTGGCATCCCGTCGGCCCTTTCATCCTGCTCAGGTGTCACCCCAGGACTCCTGCTCCTCGTGGGCTCCCCGTCCCGTCAGGATCAGTCCACCTCCTCATGGTGCTGAAGGCCAGGTGCACAGGGGCCACGGAGCGGTGCCCACGTCCTGGCCCTAGAACTAGAGGGGAAGAAGGAAGATGGATGAGGGAACAGAGGAAGTTTAAAAATTGAATCCCAGTGACTCGGGAGGCTGAGGAAGGAGGATCCACCAGTTGGAGGCCAGCCTCAGCAACTTGGCAAGGCCCTAAGCAACTTGGTGAGACCTGGTCTCAGAACAAAAAAATGAAAAAGGCTGGGGAAGTGGCTCAGCACCCCTGGGTTCAACCCCCAGTACCAAAAAAAAAAAAAAAAAGGTGTAATCATGGAAGGGTTGGCGCTCGCCTAGCATGTGCAAGGCCCTGGGGTCCATGCCCTGCGTCTCCCACCCCGTCCACCAGATGGGACAGAGGGGAGGCCAGGCTGTGAGGCAGCCCCGTCCAGGTTGCCGCCTTCCCTCCTAGGTTGAGATTTCTGAACCCCCTCTCTTGTGTCCACCTCGCCTCCTGCCCCCGCCCCACGCCCTGTCCCTTGCAAACAGGTGGTGCCCAATGGCTGCCTGTTGGGCTGAATCGATCCTGGAGGGAGGGAGCTGAGAGGCTTCCCCTGGGGTGCTGCCCCACATGCCCAAACCTGCCCCGACTTAAGCCGCTTTCCTGGGCCCTTCGTCAGGAGGTTGGGATTTGGCAGATCGGTGCCAGGGTTTCCGTGGGGTCAGGAGGAGCCACCTCCTTCCTGCAGGTGGGGCGGGAATGGGGAGGGGCGCCCGGGCCCCCCAGTCGGGATCGTCCTGGATCTGCAGTGCCAACCCTGCTGGGGACTAATACAGCGCCCCGAGGGTCCCTGGGGCAGGAGAGGAGAGGGCTCAGGAAGGCCAAGTGACCTGCTCAAGCTTGCCCAGCGGGTGCCTGGGATCTGTGACGTCACCATGTCCTCGGAAAGCCTGGGCCCCCTTTCTGGGGCTCATAGGAAGACGGGGGCTCTGGCTGGGCACCAGGTTCCTGCCCCCTGCTCGGGACCCCCACGCCTCTGCGGGGCCACTCTGGCCAGTGCAGTGCTCAGCAGCCCTGGTGGTGACCCTGCGGTGGGTGGCCTTGCCCGGTTCCTCGGTCTCCCCACAGGTCAGCCCTGGGGATCTTACCAGGTTTGCGCAGGGGTGTGTTCCAGGGCCTGGCACCGGGCCTGGCACACAGGGCACCGAACACACTTTTGTCAAATAACAGCAGGGGGCTTCCAATCCCGCCTGGGCCTGAGAGCCCGGCCCTCCCTTCTGCCCTGGGTACCCGCAGCGCCCCTCACTGTCCCCTCCCATCTGGTGCTTGCGTTTTAAAAAAGGGTGTTGCACACTTGAAACAAAAACGTTGGAAAACCGCTGCTCCCAAGGACGCAGTTGCGGAGCTGTGGGCAGGTGGGGTCAGTCACTCTTGCCCCTGCCTCCTGGTGGCACCCCCAGGGCTACGCGGTGGCCTCAGGTGCTGTGGCTGCAGAGCCCCTCCCATGGGAGGTGCTGGTGAGCCCACGGGCCCCTGGGGTGCCTTCTCACCCTGGGGCACACGCGTGTACACACACACACACACACAAAGACACAAGCGCAGAAGAGACCCAGGCTGTCCCCGCCCAGCCACTCTCCTGGTGGCCCCCTCCCCGCTGGCCTGGGTCTGGAATGTGTAATAACAGCCTTCAGGGCAAATTGGGACAGGGAGGGAGCTGGCCACAGAGCACAGGCCATAGAGCAGCAGAGCCGGGTGTGTGTGTGTGTGTGTGTGCACGTGTGCACCCACTCACTGCTGTGCTCACACTGCTGGGGGGTGCTGGGGTGGAAGGGCCCAGGAGGGTTCAGACGCCTCTCAGGTCCTCCTGCGCCCTGGCTGGCCTCCTGGCTGGCCTCCCGCCTCAGTCTCCTCACCTGTAAAGTGGGGCGGGGGGGGGGTTCGATGAGGGAGGGGCCTGGATCTTAACGAGGGCCGGTGAATGCCAGCCTGTGGCCCTGCCCCGCGTGGGGAGGCGGGACCCTGTCCTCACTGTGCTGATGAGCCAACAGGACAAGAGGCAGCGTTGGTTGAGTGCTTATAGTGCTCACCAGACGCTGGACCTACTGGATGTCACAAAAGCCCTGCAAGATGGGAGCTGTCATTGCAACCTCCACTTCAAAGGTAGAAGAACAGAGGCTCAGAGATTAGCACAGGCTGGTATTTAGGATCCTTACCTTCTGAGGTGGTCGGGAAGCTTGAATGGGTCACTGAAGGGGTTTCCCATGGTGTCCAGCATCCAGGCCATGTCCAGTAAACTGAGGGATCAGGGTATCTTGCATTCTGCAGCCAACTGTCTGCATTTGAATCTTGCTCTTGTCCCTAATGTGCTGTGTGGCCTCAGGCAAGTCACTTAACCTCTCTGAACCAGTTTCCACATCCATAAAATGGGAAATCCACACCTGGGGCAGGGTTTCAGAACCTTAGTCCTGTTGGCGTTTTGGCCTATGTCTTTCTGTGGCTCAGGGCTGTCCTGTGTGTTGGAAGATGCTTTGTGACATCCCTGGCCTCAATCCACTCGGTGCCAGTAGCTCTCTCTCCCTGAACAGTTGGGACAACCAAACATGTCCCCGCATTTCTCCAGTGTTGTGGGGGTCCTGGGCCTGGCTCTCCTGCCTGGCAGGAGACCTAACATCTCAGAGGTCCTGTGGGGTGGGTGTCTCTCAAGCCCAAGGACCCCAGGAGGGGGTGTGGTGACCCCCGTTTTACAGGTGGAAAACTAAGGCCCAGAGAGGAGTGTGGCTGTGCCTGACCTCACTTGCTACAGCTGTACCCATTCTCCAGAGAGCAAACGAGGCTCGTTGGCTCAAGCCACCAGCCCGGGGCCACGTTCCATTAACTAGCAGAACTGAGATTAGAACCCAGACCCGAATGACTCCGAAGTCCAGGCTCTTCCTCCCTGTCGAGGTCCAGCGGGGAGCTGGCCTGGTCCTGTGTGTCCTCCTGTGGTGTCTTTCCCTCTCTGGTCCAAGGTTTTCCTCCTAGAAGCCACAAAACAAATAAGGTGGGAACCAATGTGTCCCTCTCCACACGTGATGGGCAGTGGGGGTGGTGGGGACGCACGAGAGGCCACTCTTCAGACCTGTCCCAGCCTCCCAGGTGGAATGGGAAGAGTACTGGAACTCGGTCCTCAGGGCCCAGCTGCCTGGCCAGCACTGGACTGCAGAGGGCGGGAGCCACAGCCACCCAGGGCCTCCCTGCCCTGCCCTGGCTCCTGGCTGAGCCCTGGGGCTGGGAGCCTGAGAGAGTCCCCTCCCCACTGACCAGTCATGTGACTGTTCCCTCTGGCAGCCTCAGTCTCCTTGTGTGGGAGCACAGTGGGCTGGGGTTGGCCAGCAGAGGAGAGGGCATGGCCAGCCCCGGGAGCCCCCTGCTGGGGAGGCCCACCTGAGTCTGGGCCTTGGGATCACAACATTGGTGCCAGAGGAGGAAACCGAGGACCCCTGGGCCACCCACAGTGGCTGTTCTGGGCACCTGCTGGGCGGGTGGCTGTCTGTGTGGGGCCCTGGCCAGCATCTTCTCCCCTGAGGCTCAGATGCCCCCATTTTACAGGTGAGGAAACGGAGGCTGCAATGCGCTGCTTCATGCCGGGCGGGGGCCAAGGTCCAGGGTGGCTTTGGAGCCTGCTCTGCGGGGCTCTCAGGTGGCTCAGAGTAGACCCTGGCGCCAGGCTGGGTGTCCAGGGGGGCTCAAGGCCCGTCCTCCTCCAGCGGGCGTCGGGGGTAGCTGGGCCGAGGCACACCCGCGTCTCAGGTTCCTGAAAGAGGCCCCTGTTGCAGATCCCGCCTGGCGCTGGCCGCTGACCACATCTGGGAGTGGCCACCCAGCCCCTGTCATTACAAGGTGGCTTTGAAGTGCTGGCGGCAGTGCTGTGTGCCCAGGGGGCGGGGCCTCCTGGAGCCCCTGCTGGCCTCCCTGACTCCTCTCGCTCCCCCGCAGGCCGAGCGCTGCCCGCGGGTCTGGGGCCAGCATGGCAGATCCCAGCGACAGCCCCCGCGCAGGGCCTGGGGACCCGGCCGAGCCCCCCGGGGAGGAGAGCGGCACCTCCGGGGGCGAGGCCTTCCCCCTGTCCTCGCTGGCCAACCTGTTCGAGGGGGAGGACGGCTCCCCCTCCCCGTCGCCTGCCGACACTGCTCGCCCCGCGGGCCCCGGGGACGGGCGACCGAACCTGCGCATGAAGTTCCAGGGCGCCTTCCGCAAGGGCGTGCCCAACCCCATCGACCTGCTGGAGTCCACGCTGTACGAGGCCTCGGTGGTCCCCGGGCCCAAGAAGGCGCCCATGGACTCGCTCTTCGACTACGGCACCTATCGTCACCACCCCAGTGACAACAGGCGGTGGAGGAGGAAGGTCGTGGAGTGAGTACTGCTGGCTGCCCAGCCCACGGCTCCTCCCCTCCCAGTCCATCCCTCCACGTGTCCCTCTGTCCAGCCACTGGCCACCCTTTTCCAGCAGCGACTGCGGTCGTTCCTTATCTGTCCTCCAGCTCCTCCCAGCTGACTCTGCCTTCGTTCGTCCATATTTACACTCACCTACCCGCCCACCACTGCCTGTCCATCCACCCACACAACCAGGCTTCTGTGTGTTCAGTTTCATCCTCACATCCACCATCCACCCATCCACCCAGAATCCATCCATCCACCATCCACCCATCCATCCATCCATCCATCCGTCCATCCGTCCATCATCCATCCATCATCTATCCATCATCCATCCATCCATCCACCCACTCACCATCCATCCATCCACCATCCATCCATCCACCCACCCACCCACCCACCATCCACCCATCCACCCATCCATCCATCTATCCACTCATCCATCCACCACCCATTCATCCATCCATTCATCGGTTCACCTATCCACCCAACTGTCTATCCATCCATTCACCCATCTGTCCACCCACCTCCTACCATCCATCCACCCACCCCAACACCCATCTTTCCACTTGTCTATCTACTTATTCAATCCATCTATCCATCATCCACATCTACTTGTCCGTCCGTTATGTCTGTCTAGCCATCTACCCATACAGCCAGCCTTCCATTCCTCTGCCACCTGCTTATCCAAATGTCTCTACACCCTGCAGTCCACCACTGCCTCCCTTTCTCTTCTCTCTCTCTTTATTTCCCCCTCCCCTCCCCTTCTTTTCCTTTCCTGGGTCCCTGGGATTACAGGAATGAGCCACCGTGCCTAATGAGGCTTCCAACTCTTGGTGAGCCCCAGAAAGCCAATGGGGGGCCAAGAATAAAGGTGATGCAGGGGGCACAGCTGGGTTTGTGCCAGGAGAAGAAGGTGGGTGGATGGATGGATGGAAAGGTAGATGGATGGAAAGATGGGTGAGTGAATGAAAAATTGAATGACTCAGTGACCAACAAATGAAAACAGCTGGAAATGAATCAGTGTTTGCAAGAGAAAGAGAAAGGGGGGAAGAGGGAGGGAGGAGAAGGGGAGGGCAGGAAGGAAGGGAGGGAGGGAGGGAGGCAGCTGTGGGCATCAGAAGTGCAGCGAGGAGATGGTTTGAAGCTGATGGCTGGGGGCTAGAAGGGGCGCTGGAGGGCTTGGCGGGAGAGCCGCCTGCTGCGCCAGAGCCCTGGGTTTGAGCCCCCTATCACCCAGAATAAGAAGGAAAGGAAAAGAAGGTCAAGTTGGGGGAGTTGGGGGTCCTGGGGTCCAAGGACCAGAGCCCCTACAGGGTGACCTACAGGACTTCTGCTCAGAGGGGGACACTGACGCTCAGGGCAGCAGAGCGTCCCCGCACCCTACGCCCTGAGATCCTGCTGGATGCTGGTGGCTCAGGGTCCCCTCTTTCCCTCCCTTGGACCCCCGTCCAGCCTCCTGCCCTCTCCCACCTGGGAGGCGTTAGGGGGAACCAGGGTGTCTGAGCGGCTGAGACCCCACAGGCCACCCCATGAGGTCTGGTGGGGACAGTGTTCTTTTTATTCTGGGGCTCAAAGGTCCAGGTTCAGAGATGGGCATGATGGGGGCCACCAAAGGCCTTTATCAGAGGGGTGACAGCCTCTATGCCAGGCCCAAGAAGCCCCTCACCCCATGGCTGGTGCCAGAGACCCCCTTCCCCGGAGCCTGCTCTGGGCACTGGGCAGAGGAAGAGGGAGAGCTTCTGTCCCCTTCTCTTGGTGACACAGGCTGGGTGCAGACAGGTCTCCCCAGCAGCACGCCTCTCCCCTTGTGGCCTCAGTTCTGTGGATCAGGCCTCTACCCCTCCTCGCTCCTGTTCCCCCCCCCCAGACCCTCCGCCTCCATCTCTCTCCTTCTCTCCATTCACAGATTCCGGGGCCGAGTGCGGGTGAGAACACACAGGGAGGGGGGTTCCTCTTCAGTGCGTCCCCGCCTGGCCCTTCCCCCAGAACCCAGCTCACAACAGGTGCCTCGTTGCCATTTGTTGAGTGACTGAGTGAACGTCTCCAAGCCCTCCTCTTAGCATCTGGGTTTCTTTTTTGGATACCAGAAATTGAACCCCGAGGTGTCTGACCCCTGAGCCACATCCCCAGTCCTTTTTATTTTTTACTTTGAGACAGGGCCTTGCTAAGTTGCTTAGGGTCTCACCAAGTTGCTGAGGCTGGCCTCGAACTCGCAATCCTCCTGCCTCAGCCTCTGAGTTGCTGGGATGACAGGCGTGACCCACTGCACTTAGTTTAGCATCTGTTCTTCCCTGACTTTCTCTCTGTCCCCTTCTCCTCTGCTGGCCCTCTCTGGGCCAAGTCCTTGGTCTGCCTGCCTTTGCTCGGCTTCTCTCCCGTGCACACACAAGCTGCAGACACAGGAGGCTTTTTAAGAAAGGGCATCTCAGCTAACAGTTATTGAGTGTTTACTGTGTGGTGGGCCCTCGGCTAAGTACCAAAGAGCAAGAGCAAGGCCTCCCTTGTCTCAAACGTTTGTTGAATGAATAAATGAAGGAGTGTTGGAGTGAATGAAGGAGATGCATCATCGTTCAGTTTGGTCTTCCTGTGTTCCCGCTCTTTCAGTCTGTCTGTCTTAGTGAGTGACAGCTGTGTGGATGGATGGGTTGCTGTGGGAATGGATGGGTGGGTGGGTGGGTAGATGGGCTGTGTGTTTCTGCTCGTCTGTTTCCCCAGTGCATAGTAGGTCTACCTATGGTTTGCTGAGTAAAACAGCCCTTGGTGATTCCATGTCCCTCGAACTTCAGCTCCCACCACCCCCAGAACCCAGCACACAACAGGTGTCCACTTGTGTTTGTTGAATGACTGAATGAACATCTCCCAGGGTCAGGGCAGTGGGGCCTCCTGGGGTCAGGGCAGTGGGTCAGGCCCAGGAAGCACTTCTCATCATTTCCCGTCTCCTTCAGGAAGCAGCCGCAGAGCCCCAAAGCTCCTGCCCCCCAGCCGCCCCCGATCCTTAAAGTCTTCAACCGGCCCATCCTCTTCGACATCGTGTCCCGGGGCTCCACCGCGGATCTGGACGGGCTGCTCCCCTTCCTGCTGACCCACAAGAAGCGCCTGACGGATGAGGAGTTCCGGGGTGAGCACCCACGGGAGAAGACGGGTGGGGGGGGGCCCAGCAGAGGTGGAGGGAGGCCTGGCTTTGGGGATCTCCTTTCCCCTCTCTCTCTGCCTCTCCTCTGTACTCCTGAAGAGCACGGGGCAGCAAGTCTGTTCCTGTGTGCCCTTTGCTGTGTTACTTACCCTCTCTGGGCCTTGGCTACCTCCACTCATGCACTCGGTCAGTCCTTACTTTGGAAAGGGTGAGTGCAGCGGCGTCTACCCACAGGGTTTAAATATCACTGCCAGGACCCACGGGTGTGTGTGGCCTCCCTAAGGTGGCTGGAGTCCTGGAGCCCCTGCTCCCTCTCAGAGGGCCTTTGAGGGTTGGGCAGGGCCAACAGGTGCCTCTGCCCCTGCCCCACCCGGCCCAGGAGGACACCTCCCCAGGCCCGAGCCCCAGATCCCCTTCCCTATTCTAGCAGCTCGGAGATTCCAGCCTCCCCCCGTCTAGGAACCAGCTCCCTCCACTGCCCGGGCCTTCGCTGTGAATTGGGCCTGTAAGCCCCTCCACCCAACTCAGCTGCACCCCATGTGCTGGCTACCAGGAGCCATAATTAACTGGCCAGATGATCCCACAAACCAGTACAAAATGTCAAAATTGTGGCACTTCCCATACAGAAGGGACCGTCTCAGAAAGGCTGGCCATGAGTGGTCTGTGGCTTAGGTCTAAGGAAGCTTCTGGAAGGTCAAAAGAGGACATATTTGAAGACTTCAGATACTTTAAGCATAATAAGTGGCAGACCAGGGTGACCACTGGACATGGTGGTGCATGCCTGTGATCCCAGCTACTCAGGAGGCTAAGGCAGGAGGATCACAAGTTGGAGGCTAGCCTCAGTGATTTTGCAAGACCTTGTCTCGAAACAGAATTTTAAGAAGTGCTGGGGGATGTAGCTCGGTGGTAGAGTGCTTGCCTAGCATGTGCAAGACCAAACCCAAAACCAAACAACAACATAAAAAAGGGGGGGCTAGAGCCTATGGTTCATTTTCCACATAGACATTTATCAATTTGATTCTTTTTTGGGGGGGTGGGGGGGATAGGGTACCAGGGATTGAACCCAGGGGCACTCAATCACTGAGCCCCATCCCCAGCCCTATTTGTATTTTATTTAGAGACAGGGTCTCACTGAGTTGCTTAGCGCCTCACTTTTGCTGAGGCTGGCTCTGAACTCACGATCCTCCTGCCTCAGCCTCCAGGCCTGGCTCAATTTGATGCTTAACCCGAAAACAATCCAACACAATGTCTTTGTGGCCATCAGTAGAGAATTTCTGGACTGATCTAAAAGGTATTCGTCCTTGCTGCTGGGCTAGCCAAGGTGCCCTTGACTGGGGGCACAAGCTTGGAGTCTGCGGGGCTAAGGGTCCTTCTCTCCCGCAGACGATCTCGGTGGCAGGGTGAGCAATCTCCTTGGAGGTAAATGCCACCCCACCCCACCCCCACCCTCAGTCTACTGCACTGGTCTGGCAGAGTGGGGGTGGGGCGGACTGTAGGGCAGGGTGGGTCCTGAGAGATGGATGCTTCCAATGGCACCGCCCCACCAGCTGGACTTGGCCAGGCCTCCGGGGCTGGGGGGCATCTCTGGTGGTCCTGAAACCCCAGGCAGGTGGGTGGGTGCAGGAGCTCGGGTGGGGCACTTGCTGGGCTTGGGGGACAGGGACCTGCAGTTGCAGAGGTCCCTGTGTGCTGGGGGAGGGGAGACTGACTCGGGGCCCACGCTGCTAATGAGGTGCAGGGCCCTTGCTTGCCAAGGCGCCGTCTGAGGTCCTGGGCTGTGGGGTATTTATGATGGCCAGCCCATTTTGGTAAACAGGCCCCCGGGTTGTGTAAACCTCAGGCTCCACAGAACCTGGCTGTCCCTGCATGTTTTTCTGGCTGGAGGCGGATGAGCTCATCTCGTTTCCAGGGGAGGCTGAGACCACCCCCACTCCCACCCCTGCGCACTTCACAAGCTCCCATTGGCCATTCCCAATTTTGGCCGCGGCTCCAGCTGCTGCGCCCCACCCCCACCCCGGGCAGAACCACGTCGCCATCTGGTGGTCGGACCCTGGAACTGCACGTCCTGCTCCTGCCTCTCAGCCCAGGACTCCCAGGCTGGCTGCCCCCCGCCCCCACTCTAGCCTGTGTTTGAGGGCACAAGCCCAAATCCAGGGTCTAGTTCCACTTGGGCCACCTGTGGTTTGGCTATGTGGCGCGCTCAGCTTCCTGCCTTCATTGGATGTTTATTAACTCAGCCAATGGCCCTTGGGTACCCGTGAAGCATCAGGCATGGTGCTAGGTTGGGACCAGCAGTGATGAGCTGACACTGAGGCACATGTGACCCTGCCTTTGAGTTGCTCCCAGACTCCTAGGGGAGACTGGCATGGGCCAGGCAACCACAGAAATAAACACACCATTACAAACTGTAAAGGGTGTCAACAAGAGGCTGTATGGGAGGGCTTGAACTAGAGTTTCCTGGAGGAGGTGACACTTGATCTATGTGAATGAGTTGTACTAACCAGGTGAGAAGAAGAGCAGGGAGTGCTTCAGATCGGGGAGACGGTGCAGGGAGAGCATGTTCAAAGGCCCTGTGGCTCGCTGTGATCAGTTATACCTCTGAGGTGACCACTGCAGCTGTCATGTGGAGAGTGGATGAAGGAAGGACGGAGGGACTGGGGGACAACCAGGGAGGGGTCTTGGGCATGTGAGAGACGGAGGAGAGACGGGAGGGCAGAGATTAAGATGACATCACAGTTTTGGACTGGGTGGGGGTACCATCCCTTGCTGATAAAGTGGGCTGATGCCCCAAGGCCTGAACTGTGCTGTGTGTGGGGGTGTCTGTGTCTGCACAGAGTCCCCAAGAGCCTTGGCCAGCTTTGGGGGCGGCTCCTCAACTACAGTTAGTTGTTCATTGAGAAATAGTTACTTGGTGTTGCCTCTGGGCTGGGGGCTGGGCTCGATGGGGAGCAGCTGAGGCTCCTGGGGGGGTGCTGGGGCGGCAATTGGGGTCTGCACAAGGCTTCCTGGCATCTAAAGTCCCTCCCTTGGGGGACTAACCAGGACAGTCACGTCATCGAGGGATCCTATCTGCCTGGTACTGAGCTAATCGATGCGTATTGATGAGCTCATCAATTTCCTTTCCCAGCCTCAATTTAACTACAAAGGAAACTAAGCGGAGGAAGGTTCACACCAGTGTCTTGTCACAAATCCTGAGGTGTCTGGCTGCAGAATGGTCCCCTCAACCCACACCCGTGTCCCCTGTGCTTGGGGCATTCCTGTGCCCCCAGCCCGGCTCTGCCCTGGGGCCTAATGTGCAGGGTTCTCTTTTCGTGGATACATTCTTTTGAGATATAAATCAATCTCTGTAAACATAAAAGGGAAAGAAACTGGCCTCAGGGACATAGAATCGGAGGGAGAGGCGTTAAGGACCCGTGGCACCAAGCGGAGACTGGAGGAGGCTGTCAGTTTCCTGCTGCATCCACGGAAGCCCAAGAAGCGCTCCCGCTCCTCGGCGGGCAGTTTCACATCCCCTGTGCATCCACTCCACACTCTGGGGACCCCATATCCCTCAGCTCCTCTGGGGAAGCACTAGTGTAAACACTTCATGGGAGGCTGGTCCCTGTGGCTCAGGAGGCTGAGGCAGGAGGATCGCGAGTTCAAAGCCGGCCTCAGCAACTCAGTGAGGCCCTGTCTCTAAATAAAATACAAAAAAGGGCTGGGGATGCGGCTCAGTGGTTAAGCGCCCCTGAGCTCAATCCTCAGTACCCAAACAAACAAGCAAACCCCCCAAACAAAAACAAAAACTTAATGGGAAAAGGATTCTGTGTTCCAGAAGGTGGGCAAGGCTGTCTGACGCGCTTGCTTTCACAGGTGCATAGTCTCCATTAGCATAATAAAGGCTCTGAGAAGTCCTGCGGTAAAAACATATGGTGACACTTACCCTCAGGGCTGGGGTTGGAACCCAGGGGTGCACATTAGGCCAGTGCTGTACCGGGCAGCCGCACCCCCAGCCTGCATTCCTATTGATTTGATTACAAAACCCTTTAAAAAATCCCCACAAATATGACTGTGGCCTCCTACATTTCAAAGCATTTCCATTTGCATGAGATTTGATGCCAGCGATGGGCAGATAGCGCTGTGTCCCCAGCAGATGGGCGGGGAATAGTCTCAGGGTAGGGGCCTGTGAGCGCCGCCCGCTGCCCAGCGTTCAGGGCCCGGGCTGAGGCCCTCACCTGTACTCTCTCCCCAGAGCCGTCCACGGGGAAGACGTGCCTGCCCAAGGCCCTGCTGAACCTCAGCAGTGGCCGCAACGACACGATCCCGGTGCTCCTGGACATCGCCGAGCGCACGGGCAACATGCGGGAGTTCATCAACTCGCCCTTCAGGGACATCTACTACCGAGGTGCGGGGGCGGGGGACAGGGGTGACGGCCGGGCACCCGATCGGACCCCTCGGAGGGCTGTTGGGTCTCAAGTGGCTGCACTGTGCCCTGGAGCTGCCTGTTGAGTCAGGGACTGAACCCACGGGGACCTGTCCCAACCCTTCACTCTGATGGTCTTTGTGGCAAAATCCAAGACCCCGAGACTGGGCTTCAGGGCGCCTCGCCATCCTGGGATCCCTCACTTGCACAGTGTGGGGGCCTGACCTCCCCGGCTCTGCGGGAGGAGTCGGTGACCAGCGGCTCCGAGAGGCAAGGCCACACCTGTCCACGGATCTCAACTCGGAGCTGTGAATGGAAGCTGGCCTTCAGGATCCTGGGCATTAAGATTCCAAGTCCGGGGATTTGATATCCCAAGCCCAAAATTCAGTGAGGCCCTTCCTCTTGGATGAAAGCAGCATGCGCGCCTGGAAAGTTCTAGACCTGGGGATCCCACAAGTTGGGCCTCTTTGGAATTTAAAATTCTGTCACAATGGGCTGGGGTTGTAGCTCAGGGGTAGAGCGCTTGCCTAGCATGTGTGAGGCACTGGGTTCGAGTCTCAGCACCGCATATAAATAAATGAATAAAATAAAGGTCCATCAATATCTAAAAAATATTTTTTAAAAATCCTGCTCTAATGCAGATCTGGGGCTTCGTGCACACAAAATTCCACACCCGGGGGACGTCTGAGGCGCTGGTGGCTGACCGGGACTCTGGCCTGCGTCCCCCACTCTATACCCCCAGCAGGCCTGCTGGGGCCTCCGCCTTGCTGGAGCCCCGGATGACTGTCACCCCTTCCCCAGGCCAGACCGCCCTGCACATTGCCATCGAGCGTCGCTGCAAACACTATGTGGAGCTCCTCGTTGCCCAGGGAGCCGATGTGCATGCGCAGGCCCGAGGCCGCTTCTTCCAGCCCAAGGACGAGGGCGGCTACTTCTATTTCGGTGAGTCCCATAGGGAGTTCCACCATCCAATCCCCTGCAGCCTCCAAACCCTGTGGCCACGCCCCCAGTAGCCACACCCACTTCCCTAGCATCCCCCAGGAAAGCGCACAGGGGCCCAGGGTCACGGTCACGTGACTGTAGGCGCTGTGTCCATCTGCGCCCGGGGGTCCTGTCACCCAAGTGTCTGCAGGCAGGATTCCGCGCCGGGCTCCTCTCCCTGACCGTGTGTCCTGGCCTGCAGGGGAGCTGCCCCTGTCCCTGGCTGCCTGCACCAACCAGCCTCACATCGTCAACTACCTGACCGAGAACCCGCACAAGAAGGCCGACATGCGGCGGCAGGACTCGCGGGGCAACACCGTGCTGCACGCGCTCGTGGCCATCGCTGACAACACCCGCGAGAACACCAAGTTTGTCACCAAGATGTACGACCTGCTGCTGCTCAAGTGTGCCCGCCTCTTCCCTGACAGCAACCTGGAGGCCGTGCTCAACAACGATGGCCTGTCGCCCCTCATGATGGCTGCCAAGACGGGCAAGATTGGGGTGAGTGGGAGCTGACTCTTTACCCTCTACACACACACACAGAGACGGGGTGTGACCGGCAGTCATCATGCCAACCCCAGCATACAGACGTCTTAGCTCAAGAATCTGCTAAGGCTCCCCACTGTCCAGCCAGGCTGCTCAAGTTCGTCTCAGAGCCTCTCACCTCTTTCCACCTCACTAGATGCTCACCTCCCTACTCTCACCAGCCAGGAGAAGCCCCTGATATAAAAATGAGTTCCCAGAGCTGGGTGCAGTGGTGCGCACCTGTAATCCCAGCAACTCAGAGGCCAAGGTAGGAGGATCACAAATTTGAGGCCAGCCTGAATAACTCAGCAAGACCCTGACCTCTGTGCTGCAGACATTTTGGCTCCAGGACTCCTTGCTGTGGGGCTGTCCTGTGCATTGCAGGATGCTTAGCTGCATCCTGGCCTTGACGGACTAGATGCTGGTGGCACACCCTCCCTCTTCACACTTGTGACAACCTAAGATGCCTGCAGACATTGCCAAATTGTCCCCTGGGGAGCTCCATCGTCAGGACTGAAAGCCAAGCCTGGAGTACCCTGGAGTCAGTTAGGAACACTTGGTCCAGACCCCAATCTGCCTCTTGCCAGTGTGCGGCCTCAGGCACCTCCCCGCCCCTCTCTGAGCCTCAGTCTCCTTGCCTATCAAATGGGGCTAATAAGAGTGCCCTCTGGGTGAGTGTCACTGTGCCAGTAAAAAAGACCATCCACAAGGAGCTGGGGACAGGTTATCAGGTATTCCTAAATGGTAGGGATGGGACTCTTAAAAATACAGCAAAAATACTAAAGTCACAGTTAAACCAGGTTTTTTTTTTGAGGGGGGTACTGGGGAATGAATTCGGAGCACTGGATGACTGAGCCCCAGCCCCAGCCCCATTTTGTATTTTATTTAGAGACAGGGTCTCCCTGAGTTGTTTAGCTCCTTGCGTTTGCTGAGGCTGGCTTTGAACTCGAGATCCTCCTGCCTCAGCCTCCTGAGCTGCTGGGATGACAGGTGAGCACCACCGCGCCCGGCTTATACCAAGGTCTTGAGTCAGTAGAGCAGGCCTGTGTTTAGATTCTGGCTTTGTCCTGGTACAACACTGTGTGACCTTGGGCAATTCCCACTCCCTCTTCATGCCTCAGTTTCCCTGTGTGTGAACCAAAATAAAGGGGTGGTAATAGGATCAATGTGCTTCTGATCGGTCTGTTAACAAGATGGAGTTGCTGCTGCTCCAAGGCCGTGCGGAGGGTGTCCATTACTGTCACCTCCATGTTTAAGGCCAGCCTGGGCTCACTGAGTGTGTGGCCTCAGGGGAAGCCCCTTTTCTCCAAGCCTGTTGGCTCATCTGCAAACCAAGATGGTGAGGAGGGTGCTCCGTGTGCCTGGTCTCAGGGTCCTTCTGACTCGAAGGGCTGAGCATCGGGACCCCTCCCCTGGGCCCTCTGACTCCACATCCTGCCCCCGTGCAGATCTTTCAGCACATCATCCGGAGAGAGGTGACAGACGAGGACACGCGGCACCTGTCCCGCAAGTTCAAGGACTGGGCCTACGGGCCCGTGTATTCCTCGCTGTACGACCTCTCTTCCCTGGACACGTGTGGAGAGGAGGCCTCCGTGCTGGAGATCCTGGTGTACAACAGCAAGATCGAGGTGAGTGCCGGGGCAGGGGCAGGGGCTGGGCCACAGGGGGAGCAGGGGGGGTGGCTGGGAGTCGTGGGTAGGTGTCTGTGACCCAGAGTGGCAGGTCTGTTGGTGCCGACGAAGAGCCCAGAATGGTGTCTGGCATTTAGCCACATAACCAAGGCTTGTGGGGCTGGGGGGCTGGGTTGGGATCCTGGCTCTGTCACCTCCAGGTTGTGGGACTCAGGATGAATGACTGAACCTCTCCAGGTGCAGCTTCCTCATTTGCAAACTGAAGAGAGGGATCATGTCTATCCGATAGGGTTTTGGGGAGGGCCAAATGGGTTCATGTTAGAACAGCCTGGCAGAGATGAACCATGATGTGCCAGCCATTATTGTTAGCGGGCGTCCTATGAAGTGCTGAAAGCCCTTCTCTTTCACTTAGAAGTATTTCGCGAACATCATTCTGCGCTGTTAGATATTCTCGCACAGCATCGTTGCTGAACACAAATGCACCCCATTCTAATGAACCTTTTTCCTACTGCTGGTTGTTTGGGTTTACTGCCTCTAACTATGAGGAAAATGCTACAATTGCATCTTTAATGCTTTATTGTCACACAAATCCACAGTTAGGAAGAAACTCAAGTCATTAGAAAGGATGATAATCAAATGGGGCAGCTGAGAATGGGTACAAATGACCTCCCTTCCAGTTCTGCCCTGTGGCTTACTGGCTTCAGTTTGGCTTCCCTTGCAGGACCTCATTCTTAAACTTAGGGGTCAACTTGATTTAAATTGGGGTTTGCAGGTTTAGCATCACTGGGGCAAACTCTGATTGATGGGTAGTGCCTACCAGAGAAGTGCATAGAGTGATATTGTGCAGGGATCAACTATTGATGTCTGCCCTGGGCTGCAAATTGGAGCATTGTGATGAGTTAATCACTCAGCATCATTTAGCTCAATGTCCCAGTCCTGCTCCCTGAATCAGAATTTCTGAGGATGGAGCCCAGGAATTTTCACTTTGATTTTTAACAAGCTGCAGACGGGATTTTTGCTGCCAGTGACTCATTATACCATTCACAGATTAAAATTTGAAGATAGTTGCTCTTTTTTTTTTTTTTTCTTTTTTTGGTACTGGGGGTTGAACCCAGGGCCACTCTATTGCTGAGCCACATCCTCAGTCCTTTTTTTATTTTTTGTTTTGAGACAGGGTCTCGCTAAGTAGCTTAGGGCTAAGTTGCTGAGGCCGACTTCGAATTTGCAACCTCTAGCCTTGGCCTCCCGAGGTCACTGGGATTGCAGGGGTGCCTCACTCTGCCCAGCCAGGATGCATGTTCTTTAAGGCGCTTTCCAGCTCTGGTCTATAGACTGGGGTGGGAAGGGTAAGTTGAGGCAGGAGTGGGCAGAGCCTTGAATTCTGAGCCCAGGAGTCTGGGGTGGATTCTGAAGACCTGTCCAGTTGCGCCCAGATCCTGAGCAGAGCTGAAGAATGGGAGGGGAGGGGAAGTGCTCTGGGGCCGAGGGTGGAGGAGGGCATACTGGCGTCAGCCCGTGTGGATTCCCCGCCTCAGAAGGTGGCCACGACCCTCTTGCCTCTCACAGAACCGCCATGAGATGCTGGCCGTGGAACCCATCAATGAACTGCTGCGGGACAAGTGGCGCAAATTCGGGGCTGTCTCCTTCTACATCAACGTGGTCTCCTACCTGTGTGCCATGGTCATCTTTACCCTCACTGCCTACTACCAGCCACTAGAGGGCACTGTGAGTGCTCGGGAGTCAGGCAGAGCGGGGGCGGGGCTGCGGCTCCAGCCATCTGGGTTCCCTGGGGGAAGGACCTGGGGAAGGTTAGCAAGAGGCAGAGGAGGTGCCCCTACATGGGTGGCTCTGAGATGGGAGACCTGTGGGAAGATGGAGAGAGGAGGTGGCGCAGGATCCAGGCGGAGGGTGGGTGAGGACCCTGTGCCCTGCTCTCCAGCCACCCTACCCTTACCGCACCACCATGGACTACCTGAGACTGGCAGGAGAGGTCATCACACTCTTCACCGGGGTCCTGTTCTTCTTCACCAACGTGAGTGCTTGGTCCCCGTGCCACCAGCCCACCCAGCCTCCTCCTCCTGCTCCTCTCCCACTCCTTCTCCAATTCCACGTTCTCTTCTGCAGCCAAGAGCCCATGTCCCTTCTCTGTCACATGCTCCGCCTCCCTCTCTTCTGTCCCTCCCTCTCTCCCGTCCTCAACCTTTTTCCCTGATCCACCTGCCGCGGGCCCCCTCCCTCACCTCTTTCAGATCAAAGACTTGTTCATGAAGAAATGTCCTGGCGTGAATTCTCTCTTCATCGATGGCTCCTTCCAGCTGCTCTAGTGAGTCCCGGGAGGACAGCATCTGGGTGGGGATGGCGGGGTTGGGCTGAGGGGCCATCCAGACTGGGGGAAGAGGTAACCCTATTAGGAGGGAATTCATTCAGCTGGGCAGCACTAATCCAAACTGGACAAAGCAACGTCAGGCGGTGGAGTCTTCTGGTTAAAGAAATACTGCCAGTGACTCAGTACCATTCACAGATTGGAATCTGAAGGTAGTTCCTAAGGGGTGACCATATGTACCAAAATTATAGAAAAATTTTGGCCTCTTTTGCCAGTGATGGATTGCTAATGTCTTCCTGGAGTGCTGGGTCTCAGAAGGGGTGTGAAACTGTCTGGGTTTAGTGGGAAAGAGAGCTGTGATTGATTAGTGATGTCTGCATAGGGCACAGGATTTGAGGGTTGCTGCAGCTCTGCTAGTCTTCCCCCCCCCCCCCCAGAGCTACAGGACAGTGAAATCCACTCGGCCACAAAAGTCTCCACTGAACACCACCGAATCTTTCTCTAGCAATTCCAAAGTCATCCCTTTGGGATCTCTTAGGGCCTCGGGGGCAAGAGACATACGATTCATTGCTAATTAACTAATGTTTTGTTATCAGAGCATTCAACATTGGGGAACCCGGCTAATCCATTCTGCTTTTCTTTTGAGGCTCTAGATGACATTGGGATGTCCTGGTACACTGGAGGGCTGGGAGATACATCTTCCCCTCCAGGGCCTCACTGTTCCCACTCCCTCTGGCCCCCTCATGGTCTCTGTAGCTTCATCTACTCTGTGCTGGTGATCGTGTCCGCAGCCCTCTACCTGGCGGGGATCGAGGCCTACCTGGCTGTGATGGTCTTTGCCCTGGTCCTGGGCTGGATGAATGCCCTGTACTTCACCCGGGGGCTGAAGCTGACGGGGACCTACAGCATCATGATCCAGAAGGTATGGGGTGGAGGGTCCCCTGGGCTTGGGTGTCTCAGGTGCCCACAGATCAAGAAACCATTGTCTCCTCTTTGCCTCCGTGATCCCCCGGGGGGGTGCTTTAGATCCTCTTCAAAGACCTGTTCCGCTTCCTGCTGGTCTACTTGCTCTTCATGATCGGCTACGCTTCAGGTGAGTTCTGGGAACCCTGGGGGGAGCGGGTGGCCAGGGCCTAGAAAGGCAGCCATCACGGGCTGGTCGAGTTCTCACTGTGCGCTGGCCCCGGGGCCGAGTCCCGTCCTCCCGACAAGCCTGTGAGACCGCTGTCCTTATTCTCCCATTTCACAGATAAGGAAACTGAGGCTCGGGAAGGTTAGATAATTTGACCAACTTCAAAAGCTAGTGATAAAACGGGAGACACACGAAATGTAGTGGCTTCCAACGACAGCCATCTGCTCCTGAGTCTGTGGGTCAGCTGGGTGGTGGTGCTGACTGGGGCCGGGTTGGCCGGTCTCGGGGGCCCCTGCGTCTGTGGAAGGCTGGAAGGCTGGCTGCCGACAGACAGGGGTAGCCGGGTGGGCTTGGTGGTGGGGCCTGTTTCTTTTCCACATGGTCACTCATCTTCCAGCCAGGGTGGGCTTGTTGATGGGGGTGGTCTCAGGGCCCAAGAAAGTGAGCAGAAGTGTTCAAGGCCAGTGCCTGGCTTGGCATCCCGGCTGCCTCACTGTGTTAAGCAAGTCCAAGGTCAGCTCTGAGTCAGGAGGTGGAGAAACAGACTCCACTTTACTTTTCAGTACTGGGAATGGAGCCCAGAGGCCCTTTACCACTGAGTCACAGCCGCAGCCCTTTTAAAAATATTTTTATTTTGAGACAGGGTCCTGCTAAATTGCTGAGACTGGCCTCAAACTTGTGATCCTCCTGTTTCAGCCTCCCAAACTGCTGGGATTACACTGTACCTGGCTAGACTCCAGTTGTTGATGGGGGGGCCATAGGCCACACTGAAGGGGCGTGGATACAAGTCCAGTATCAGCTTCCTTTAGTGTGCCTCTCGGTGATGTCATCATGCCCAACTGAGGCACACTGGGACTTCACTGGCATAGGCCATGCAGGAGGGGCTGAGGATGGGGAAACTGACCGAGTCATTGGACTGGTCCCCGAGAAGTGGCTGATCTGCTCTCAATGCCCCATATCCAATGGGGAGTGGCCAACTCAGGCTGGACCAGGCTACACTAAATTCTGAGCAGCTTCGTGGGGGGACCTGCTTGGCAGCAGGCACCTGATGGTGGAGACATTTTATCCCAGATGGTCCTGAAGCTCTGTGTGGATTATTTGGGGAAAGCAGAGCTGGACAGTCCTGGCTGTGGAGGTTGGGACAGAGAAGGGCCAGGAAGAACTAACCGTGTCAATGTTCAGCAGCAGGTTGGGGGTCCAGACCCACTGAAGTCCTAATTATAGAAAAGGAGGCAGAAGCAATGGAGGCTAAAGCAGCAGTTTAGTGATCAGCTAGGTCCCGAGGCTGCTTCTGTCTAGGGTCACTGGATCCCAAGTCTGAGGCCGACATGACACAAACGATGCCCATGTACTACTGCTTCCCATTTTTGTGCCCATGGCAGACATTGCTAATGGATCACAGAGTCATTTTTCTGATGCATCTTAGACCGGGACTCAGAATCCTTCTCAACATAAGTTTTAATGGTACAATTAAATAACATTAGCATATGAATTGGAACCCCTGCCCTGGCTGGTTTAGGGTCAGCTTGTTGCTGCTGAGCTTTGTTGAGCAAGGATTGTGACACCGTGGATCTGCACCTGGGTTGGTGTGGAGGGACAGTGTGCCCCTCGGAGTGAATCCAAGACCCAATGAGTGACAGGCTACATTGGCATTTCTTGGGCCAGACACGATCCTGTCGTGAGGAGCTGAACTGTTCCCTGTGGGTGTTCAAGAGCACCTCTGGCCTCTGTCCACTAGATGCCAGGAGCACCCCCTCTCCCGGCTGCAGCAACCAGCCGTGTCTCTAGACATTGTCCAATGTCCCTGGGGAGGAGACTGCCCCTGGTGAAGAAGCCCTGGCCTAGATCCTAAAAGCTTTGTCCTTATAAGGGGGTCTGTGGAAAGGACAGAGGCTTTGCAGCCTTGCGGGCCCAGCTGACTGCTGGCTTGGCTAACCCTCTGGGTGACCTGGGGCTGCGCTCTGGCCTTGACTCCCTCCCTCCCACTCAACAGAGGCCACCCCTGTTCCCCCCTGCAGCTCTGGTCTCCCTCCTGAACCCGTGTGCCAACATGAAGGTGTGCGACGAGGACCAGACCAACTGCACGGTGCCCACGTACCCGTCGTGCCGCGACAGCGAGACCTTCAGCACCTTCCTCCTGGACCTCTTCAAGCTGACCATCGGCATGGGCGACCTGGAGATGCTGAGCAGCACCAAGTACCCCGTGGTCTTCATCATCCTGCTCGTCACCTACATCATCCTCACCTTCGTGCTGCTGCTGAACATGCTTATCGCCCTCATGGGGGAGACGGTGGGCCAGGTCTCCAAGGAGAGCAAGCACATCTGGAAGCTGCAGGTGAGGCCCCTGGACCCTGCCCTGCCCCCAGCCACCCTTCCTTCCCAGGTGGGGAGCTGGGGAGACAGGATTCCCCAGCCTCCCTCTCTGGGGGGCCTTGGCATCTCCTTCCACCTGTTTCACTGCCTGTAAAATGGGCAGCAAAGGCCACTGCCCACTTCCTAGGGCCACCTAGAGAATTTCTTTTTTGGGGGAGGCTACCCAGATTGAACTCAGGGCACTCCACCACTGAGCCCCATCCCCAGCCCTATTTTGCATTTTATTTAGAGACAGGGTCTCACTGAGCTGCTTAGCGCCTCGCCATTGCTGAGGTTGGCTTTGAACTCGCCATCCTCCTGCCTCAGCCTCCTGAGCCACTGGGATGACAGGCATGGGCCACCACTTCTGGTAACCTAGTGAATTTTAAGGGGACTTCTTGTCTGAAGCTGTGGTTGGAGATCTACATCGTGTGGCTCTCAGGTCCCAATTGTCTCCATCCAGCATGGCTGAGTGATCTCTGTTGCATAGGAAATTCTCAGAGTCTTTTAGTCCTTTTTTCTGTTGCTATAGCAAAATACTTGAGACCGGGTAATTTATAAAGAATAGAATTAAATTTGGCTCACAGCTCTGGAGTCTGGCAAGTCCAAGAGCATGGCTGTGCCTGTTGAGGGCCTTCCTGCTGGGTCATGACATGGTGGAGGTCACCACGTGGCAAGATAGAGCAAGCATGCAAGTTGAGGTCTCTCCGTAAAGAGCTACTAATGCCATCAGAGGGGTCCCATCCTCATGAATTCACCTAACCCTAAAATAAAAAATAAAAAAAAAAAAACCCAAAGCCCCAGAGCACCCACATTCACATTGACTCAGGGCTTCAAGGACCATGGTCAGGGCCTGGGGCTGGGGCTCAGTGGTAGAGCGCTCACGTAGCATGTGTGAGGCCCTGGGTTTGATCCTCGGCACCACATAAAAATAAATAAATAAAATAAAGGTGTTAAAAAAAATTTTTTTTAAAACCACGGTCAGCAGCTGGCTGTGATTCCAGCTGAGGAAGGGGAATCACAAGTTCGAGGCCAGTTTCAGCAACTTAGGGAGACCCTGTCTCAAAATTTAAAAATAAATCAAAGGGCCTGGGGATGTGGCCCAGTGGTCAGGTGTCCGGGCTTCCATCCCTAGTACCAAAAAAACTAAAAAAGAAGCAAAGACCAAGGTCGTCCGTCCTCTTGGGTCTGAGTGTTAGGGGACGTGGTGGGGCTCACCCCGGAACTTTGACCCCACCATGAACTCCACTGGGCCTCAGTTTCCCCGCCGAGTGTAACCCACGAGATGGGAACTGGATCCAACCACCCAAGATTCATTTTTTCCAAATTCAAAAAAGGTGAATGCAACATTTTAAAAATGAAGAGACTCCATATAAAAATTCAAAACGTTCTGTCCCTCTGTGAACAGTGGGCAGCCCTGCGGGGCTGGCCGCCTTCCTGCCTGGCAGCCCTGGGTCTGCTGAGCGGCCGCTGCCCCCGACCCCAGCACCCTGCATTCGCTCTCTGGTTTGCCCCAGCTCCCAGCCCTCCCTGTGGCCTCTGCTGAGCATGCGCACGGGCCCCGGGCGGGGCCTTCCTACCTGAGCTGGGTATTGGGTTGCCGGGTGGAGGGGGGTACTGGGGATGGAACCCAGGGGCACTCGACCACGGAGCCCCATCCCCAGCCCTATTTTGTCTTTATTTAGAGACAGGGTCTCACTGAGTGGCTTAAGGCCTCGCTGTTGCTGAGGCTGGCTTTAAATTGGCGATCCTCCTGCTTCAGCCTCCCCAGCCGCTGGGATGACAGACATGCGCCACTGTGCCCCGGCCACTTTGGGTGTTTGAGTTTACAAAGCTCCTTCCTAGGGACAGTAGGAACTGGAAGGCTTAGTTCTCTGCCCACCCTGGCCTGTCACCCCCTTTTCTGCCTTTAGGGCAGTGGGTGCGGCTGGCTGGCTCCCCTACATCCCGCCCCCGCCTCCCTCTCTGCAGTGGGCCACCACCATCCTGGACATCGAGCGCTCCTTCCCCGTGTTCCTGAGGAAAGCCTTCCGCTCCGGGGAGATGGTGACCGTGGGCAAGAGCTCGGATGGCACTCCGGACCGCAGGTGGTGCTTCAGGTGAGGCGGCGTGGGCGGGAGAGCCCAGTGGTCCTGGGAGGTCGAGGCTCCCGCAGCCTCTTTCTCCATTGAGACCTCCGGAGCCACAGAGGCCCTGCTCAGCGCCCACCGAGGGTCCCACTCCGTGAACTTGGGCAAACTGGTTGGCTTCCCTTGGCCTCAGATTCTTATCTGTGGATTGGGGACCGTGATGGTGCCACCTCCCTGGCCAGCTGTGCAGCCTGTGAGAGGTGCTGGTCAGCATCAGACACCGCGGCATGGTCTGGATGCCGACGGCACCTCTGACCCTCGTGGGGACAGGACAGCAGAGACCCGGCCTCATCTCACCTCAGGGCATCGTCCCCCATCCACAAACAACCAGGGGGACTTCAGCGCCAGGGCTTAGTGGGGAAACCCAGGAGTGGGCATCCTCCAGGGCTTGGGACCTCACCCCATCCACGTGGAGAGCGACTCCCTACTTCAGGTGATGGAGAATGCCGGCTTCCTCGGGGAGCCCCGCCCTCCCCCCATGGTATTTTCTTCTAAAATGACTCATTCCTTGGTGATGGACAGCAGAGAAGATAAGGGTGACATTTGGAATCAGGCAGAGTCAGTTTCCTCATCTGTGATATGGGGACAAAGGCAACTACCTCCTAAGTCAGCTGCTCAGTTCTGCTGACGCTGAACCCAAAGTTCAAATCCTGACCCTTTAACTTACCAGCTTTGTGACCTTGCAGAAGCCGCCCAAACTGCCTCCAGTTCCTCATCGGTAAAACAAGAGGAACCAGAAATGCATCTTCTTTGCCAAGTTCTGACATGTGGCAGTTGCTCAAAAAAAAAAAAAATAGAGATTGTATGAGAAATGATTTTAAAAATGATGTTAAAAAAAAAAAACCCAAAATTATATTGGGTTAATTTGACCCAAGAGGTTATAATCTGACTTTACCAGAGTTTTCCAATAAGTGAAAATATCAAGCAGCATGTCTATCTATGAATGAATGAATGAATGAATGAACAAAATGTGGTATGTCCACACACTGGAATATTATTTGGCCTTCAAAAAGAATGAAGTTCAAATACCTGCTACAGCATGAATGTGTCTGGAAAACATAATGCCAGATAAAGAGGCCAGACACAAAAGACCACAGGTTGTATGATGGCACTTGTACGAAGCTTCCAGAGGAGGCAAACACCGTAAAATAGAAAGCAGATTAGGTAGGAAGGCCCCGCCCAGGGCCCGTGCGCATGCTCAGCAGAGGCCACAGAGAGAGCTGGGAACTGGGGCAAACCAGAGAGCGAATGCAGGGTGCTGGGGTCGGGGGCAGCGGCCGCTCAGCAGACCCGGGGCTGCCAGGGGCTTCGGAAGGGGTCACGGGGAGTTACTGCTGACTAGGCAGAGAGCTTCTGTGTAGAGCAATGGGAAGGTTTTGGAAGTAGGTAGGAGTGCTGGTGCCACAGCATCGGGAATGTGCCGAACTGTGCGCTTAACATGATTAGACCCAGTTCGGTATGTGTTTGACCACAGTAGGAAAAACTGGAGGAGGGCGTGCTGCGAAGTCTGGGGCGGGGTCTCCCAAACCCTCTTCTTCGGCCCCACCAGGGTGGACGAGGTGAACTGGTCTCATTGGAACCAGAACTTGGGCATCATCAATGAGGATCCAGGCAAGAGCGAGACCTACCAGTACTACGGCTTCTCGCACACCGTGGGCCGCCTCCGGAGGGGTGAGCAAGGCCGGGGAGCCGAGGGGCCGCCCAGGCTTGTCACCTGTGTGCCCAGAGGGCCCAGTCCCCAGCTTGGACTCAGGGTCTACAGGATGGGGCTGTGGGATGTGGATGCCTGGGGCACCCCGTCTTTGTGGCTTCATCCTGGCCCTCCCTGCACCCAGATGCAAACTGGCCTGGGAGGCAGGATTAGCCCCTGGGCCCGCCCCAGGGTGGAGAACCCTTGTTTTCCACTAAACCTGGAGTTTGGGCACTTGGCGTTCTGACCTGGACTTGGAGCCTGGTTCCTCTTTGCATTCCTGTGCAATCCTCCGTCACAGCCTTGACCTCTCTGAGCCTCAGTTTCTACCTCCTATGAGATGGGCATAATAATCCCCCCCATGAGATCGGGAGCGCCCAGTTCACGTAGGTGCTCAATACACGTGCCGAGCCCCACCGAGCTCACCCCGCTCCCCCGCTGTGCCTCCTGCCTAGATCGCTGGTCCTCGGTGGTGCCCCGCGTGGTGGAGCTGAACAAGAATTCCAGCCCGGATGAGGTGGTGGTGCCTCTGGACAACCTGGGGAACCCCAGCTGCGACAGCCACCAGCAGAGTTATCCCCCCAAGTGGAGGACTGACGATGCCCCCCTCTAGGGGCCGCGGGCGGGGTTGGGGTCTCCCGCCTGCAGCCCGATCCCGCCCTTCACCTGCCTTGTCCACCTGCATTTCAGCTCCTCCCAGGTGTCCCCACACCCTCCCGTGACTCCTAGAGGCGAGGGCTGATGGAGATGCCGGGAGGCCCCAGGACCCTCTGGTCCCCAGGCTCCTGCCCCGGCTCCACCTGCCCCTGGGGACGGGCTCCTGGCCGCCTGTCTCACTCCCATGGAGTCACCTCCACCCAGAGGGGCAGACCTGTTCCCCTCTCCATTATTTATTGCTGTCCTCTCAGGAAAGCCATGTGCCACCCCACCCCCAACCCTGTCCTGCAGGCGGAACCCTGAGGCCTCAGCACCTGGCTGCGGGTGCACTGCCGGCCACGCCCACCGGCCACGCCCCCAGCCCCACCCTCCACGCACCAGCACCTACCGCGGGGGTCGGGCCCTGGAGTGGGGCGAGCCCTCGGTGTGTTCTAGGGTCTGGGATTTGTCGGTGCTCAATAAACGTCCACTCACTGATGGTGGAGATGGCGGGACCAGTGGTGGGCGTGGGGCGACGGTGACCGGCCTGGGGGTGACACTAGGGAGGCAGGAGAGTAGATACTGCGCGTGCTGGAGGGATCAGGTGGCATTAGGTATCAGTGGTATGGGACTGGACCGGCCATGGTTATGGTGGTGGCCGTGGTGACCTGAGAGATGGGGGTGAGACTGAGTGGTGGTTGGGAAGCTAGGGACAAAGGTACCAAGCTCCAGGGGAAGGAACCAGCCTGGCCAAGGGCCCATCTCTCATCTCCCTGCCTGGGGCCTCCGGAGCCCCAGGCTCTCCTCCAGCGCACAGTGTTCCGTGGCCAGGGGAATGGGATGGCCCCCCCTTGGCCCATCCTCCCCAGACCACCGGGAGCCCGACCAGAATGGTGACAGTGGTCGGTCATGCTCTGGAGGTGACAGACGAGTGGTTTTCACTCGGGTCAGGCTTCAGGAAGGATCCAGGTAGGGACCCCTGGGTTCTGAGTCCGACGAGCGTGGAAGGACCCTGGGTCAGAAAGGAGATATCATGGCCGGGCCTGGGGCACACACCTGTCATCCCAGCCACTCAGGAGGCTGAGGCAGGAGGATCGCAAGTTCAAAGCCAGCCTCAGCAACTTAGCGAGGCCCTAAGCAACTCAGTGAGACTCTGTCTCTAAATAAAATACAAAATAGGGCTGGGGATGGGGCTCAGGGGTTCAATCGTCAGTTACCTCCCCCTCCCCCCCCCCAAAAAAAGAACTCCAGTTTCCTTTTTCCTCAACCCCTGGGAAGGGGAAACACTCTCCTACCTGAGTTGTTGGTGCTGGACGCTTGCCCTGGGTTGGTCAGAAGACAAGATGGTGGCCTGGGTCTTCCCTGGAAGGTGGATGCTAGAGATGAGGGACGGGATTTCCCTCACACTGGCTTCCCTTGGGGACACAAGGTGGTGCCCCAAATCCGGGCATCACATCCAGATCCAATTACATCCATAGGAAGAAGGGGAGTGGCTCCTCCTTTCTCTCTTTTTATAGAGAAGGAAACTTTCCCCTAAAGTTCCTCAGCTCGTCTCCCCTCTCCTATTGTTGGCCAGAATTTGCCATCTCTTTCATGCTCCACCCAATTGCCAGACAGGAAGTAGCAATTGGCCTAAAAGCAGATGGCAATATGGAGGAAGGAAGTGACCCTGGACAGGCTGAGCTCTGTGATGCAGGAGCATGCCCATATTGCCTGGCCAACCAATAGTGTCTGCTGTGGTCTCTTTCCAAATGTCCTCCAGAGGGTGGGGTGCCCTCACTGTCACCAAGAAGGTCTGAGGCTCATTGTGGAGCCATCAATAGGTCACTTTTTTAGGGGCCTATGGCCTGGGCCTACCCACAGGGTCAAAAGCCCTCCCAACCCCGAGATGCAGTGACTTCTCCAGTGCATAATCTGCATTTTTACAGTGAAATAATGTGGGCTATGAATTTTCCTGTGAATACACTTTTAGCCACATGTTAACTTTTTCAAATTAAAAAAAATTAGAGAATTTTAGTCTTAATTATCTCTGACTCAATAGCTGTTTAAGAGAATTTAAAAGTTTTCAAGTCTTTGAGATTTAAGTCCAGTAAGATCTTTAAAATGCCCTTTCCCATTGTGGGCAGGTACTGGTTATATGCCAAAATATTTTCAGGCGACACATTGTTCCAAAATTGCATTTTAAAAACCTTTTTTTTTCCAATTATCCATGTCTCCCGATTATGTCAAGGTCTCGGTTTGGTGCTTCTGGGTTTTATTTTAAATTTTCTTTAAATAATCTCTGTTTTAAATAGTGAAAGATCTTTTGGCTTTGAACTTCTGGAAGAACAGAGTAGTTTAAAACATTTTAATTTCTTTTTCTTTTCAGTTATAAGACCTGTTTGAAGCAAGCTATGTTTCTCGAGATTAATAGTGCCCTCAAATAAAGGTTTTTTTTTTTTTAATGGGGAGGGGTCCCAAGGATTGAAGCCAGGGCACTCAACCACTGAGCCCCATCCCCAGGCCCCCACTCCTCTTTCCATTCCCACCCCTAAAAGTCCCACCTTGGTGCTGCCCTCTCGCTGGGTCACAGCCTAGTCTCCCGCATCTGCGCTTGGTCATGTGACCTGTGTGACTATTGGGATGTTAGCGGACATGCCTGCCTCCCCCTGCCCATCAGAGCAGTGAGAACCCCCCTCCGGGACATCCCACTGATAACTGACACTGGCAGGATTCGAGCCCAGGCATGCTGGGGAGGTGAGGGGTGACAGGTGGCGGCCCAGTCACTTTTGTGGCAAAGACCCTGGCTGTCACCTGCCACCTTTCCCCAAGTCCCTGCCAGCTTGTCTTCTGTGCCCTTTGTCTTTGAATGCGCCCCTCGCTGCCTCCAACAAGGTCTCTCATTAAGTGCGCGTGTGTGTGTTTAGTAATGATGAAGCACTTGTGCGTCGTACTTGACAGGAGGGTTTTTCCCTCCTGAGTTTAAAGCACCACTGGGAAACCATCAGTGGTACCAGAGTCAAAAACAAAGGGATCCCATCCGGAGAGACAGACTCGGGGATTCCCAGGTCTTCATTGAACAATCACCTCTCATGCCTGCAAAGCGTTCCTCCTCACACGCCCTGTGATTACTTGCTGTGATGATTGTGTTAGATGAATGCTGAGGATTTTTTTTTATTTGATCAAAAGCCGTGATGATGAACAGCCACACTGAACGGGTCTCTGACATTCCTGAATGCGGTAATGTCCCGGTGGGCAGTCAGTCCCCACACCTCACCCAGATTCCCGGGTACTGGATCATTCCGTTCAGGCTGTGATTAACGATTGGCTCCTTGGCAGAAGAATTTCTGTGTGAACCAAATGCTTCCTGCCTTTGGTTTTTAGGAATCCCAGGTCACTGGGGACAATGGAGAACAAAGGTTCATCCCAGGCTTTTGAGATAGAGACAAAAAAAACGAGGGTGGTGATGGAGCAGAGGATGGGATGGGAGAGGCGTGGGCAGTGGGAACTCACACTCCCCGGGACCGGGGAGCTCCAGCCCAGGAGGTGTTGTATTCTCAAGGGAATCTCAGAAAAGAGGAAGCCAATGAACCCCCATCAGGCTCCTGACTTGTGTTAGGTGCTGTGCTTGGTGCTGGCATTCATATCTCAGTTCTGATCCGTCAGAGAAGAGGACACGTCTACTAGGAGAGGGGAAATTCTGGGAAAGTCAGAAGAATAAAGGAAAAGGCTTGTTTTCTTTCCTCGAAATTGTCAGGTCTGATGTGATGTGATGCCTGGAACTGCAGCAGTTATGTTGTGGCCATGAGGAGGATCCGCAAAACAGAAGAATGAAAAGAACTTGGGCCCTTGATGACATTACTGAGCTGCTGAATTTAGCCATCTTTTGGCCACCTGACCTTATATCTTCTTATGATTACTTGAGAGAATACATTGTCTTTCTCTCAGTTGAATCCGGATTTTCTATCAGCTAAAATCATACAGATGCAAGCACAAATTTTTACCTCCATTTTACAGATGAAGAAAATGAAGCCTGGTATGAACCTAGAATGCCTTAATATGAATTTTCTAGGGGTGGTAGGATAGTTTTTGAGTGTTGGTGGCCTTTCCAAACGTGTCCACTTGCCATTTCTCTACAGAGGGCCTTGTGTTAGGGTGGGTGGAGCTGGGACTCAACCCAGGGCCACAGCTCTCAGCACCCTGAGGTCCTTAGTGTTGGAGCAGGGGTCGGATTGTGAGGTCAGAGGGTCCTGCTTGCTCTCAGCACCACATGCAAAGGCCCCCGCACTCCCTCAGATCTGCCCTTCCTCCATCTGGGCGGGGCTGCTGAGATCTGGAGACTGGCCACCAGGGGGTCGCTGTGGCCACACCTGGGGGCCTCCGCAGAAGAGACCTGAGGGGAACTTGGAACTTGGGGACCTCGTCAGAAAGAAGCTTCCTGAGCTCCTCCTTAGGTGAGCCGAGTCTGTGAGACCCAGGAAATACCCCCATCCCCGAGAAGGGCAGAAGGTGGCCTAAACTCGCCTCTGGAGGGTCAAACTGCTGTGTGTCCTTGGACAAGTTGCCTCCTCTCTCTGAACCTCAGTTTTCTTTTTTCAAAATAGGGGTATTCACCCCCACTTCTCAATGGTGGGTTTCCTCACTCTCCCTGAGGGTCTTCCCATGCTTTGTGCCTCGCTTAAGGTGGTGGATGAAGACCAGTTAGGATGTGGCAGTCCCAGAAATAAACCCCATCATTGCAACTGGGGAAACTGAGGCCTGAAGAGAAGGAACTCAGTTTCCTCAAGTCTACTGGGGGAGGAGAATCGAAATTCAAAGTAGTTTCTACTGAACGCCTGCGGCTCTTGCACCCCTGTAAAGTCCAAAAATTGTAAGGTTGTCAGGTTCCCCCTGGTGGCTCACCTCTGTAATTGCAGCTACTCCGGAGGCTGAAGCTGGAGGATGGCAAGTTCAAGGCCAGCCTCAGCAAAGTAGTGAGACCCTGTCTTGAAATAAAAAGGGCTGGGGGTGTGGCTCAGTGGTAGAGCACCCTGGGTTCAATCCCCAGTACCAAAAAAAAAAAAGATACTGTAGCCTTGGTGAGTTGGGCTCATGTGTTGATCAGCCTCAGGTTGCAGTTGACAAAGAGGTGGCTAGAGGGACCATCACTTCGCCCAAGCCACATTGCTCATGGGGGCAGACTAGCTCGGTCTGACCACTAAGCCCCAGTGCCCTTGGGGAGGCCCTTCTCACTGTACTAATTCAGGGGCCACCTCTGCCTCTGATAGATCTAGAAATTGAGGCTCTGAGAGGTCCCCCAAGTTGTCCAGGGTTACGTGTGGTGGTGGTGGCGGGATGCCGAGGACAGTTTTGTTGCCTCCCCCCACCCCCCTGCCACTCTGGTGAGCTGGTGATGGTGGCGATTTAAAGAGAAAATAACCTGGCTGCTGTAGCCCCACCTTCCAGGGGGCGGGCTGGAGCGGGCCACGCCCCCTTGGAGCGGGCCACGCCCCTCAGAGACCCCCTGGCCGCTCAGAGGCCACGCAGCCCCGTGGGACCTCACGGGAGCTTGTGGGTCTCCGGCTTGGAGTTGAGGCCAAACGGCGCTAGTTCAAGGTCTTGCTTTTTGGAGGTCAAGCTCAGGAGCCTGAACTTGTCCTGGCTTCCTGGGGGACAGGTCTAAGACATGGATCTGAGTCCAGAAAACAGGGAGCCACCCTGGAAAAGTGGGTGCCTGCTGACTCGGGTCCCTCCACTGCCCTCTGCTCCTGGGGCCCCCTCTGCTCTGGGGCAGCTCTGATTGCCAGAGGACGAGGCCATCTCCTGGTGGCCGAGTCGGGACATGTTAGGAATAGTGACGTTAGGTGCGGGCACCCCTGGCTACTGAGGCTATGAGCCCAGGAGGGTTCCCTGGGGAGGAGGACGTTAGGGTTGACACAGAAGGGTGCGGCTCCGAAGGAGGGGCGGGCCAGGGAGCCCCTTCATCAGCCTGATAGCGGGGTGCCCGGGCCGCGGACCCATGGGCCTGGCTTCTGGAGCTGAACCGGCCACGGGCAGGGGTCGTCTGCAGAGCGCGGCAATCGAGAGCTCAGGCTGGGAACTGGACAGGCCTGTGTCCTCTGCCAGCTGCTTCTCCGTCCTTGGGCCTCAGCTGGACAAAGTGACGGTCCTTCCTCAGCCCTCAGGACCTGGCGTGTAAAGCGCGACCATGCAGCATGCCGTGCTGAGTGACCAGAGGACTAGGTGCTGTTCAGCTCTGAGCCTGGTGCCCCGGCTGTTTGCACAAGCCGTGAGCTGTGCTGGTGACAGCAACAGTGTCCTGTCCTGTAATCCCCAGGGACTGTAGAAATACCGGGCAGGACTAGACATGCTGGAACAGCACCCATGCCAGAGGGTTCAGATGGGGAGACTGAGGCACCCAGGGAGTCCATGTCGGGGCAGGTACAGACCCTGGCAGGGCCAGGAGGTTTTCCAAGATGTAAGCGGTGGGCTGCCCAGACCTTCGGATGCGAGGGACCTGGCCATGAGCTCGGCTGCGGTCTTGCCTCTGCCCTTCTCCAGGTGGGTTCTGGGTGAACCAGAGAACAAGCTGGCACTGGGCTGGCCCTGATGGTGGCCACAGGTCCTCTGTGTCCCCATGTGTAAATGGGTGGTTGTGAGATACAAATGAGTGGCTCATAAAGTCCCCTTGGCATCCGGGGCCGGTGCTAATGATGCACTATCATGCTCCTTCCCAGGTCCCCCCAGCTCTGCCTCTCGGCTGGGTGCTGGGCTGCCTCGCTGACCGGCTCCCAAGGGCCTGGGTCTCACCCGAAGCGGCTGCTTCCTCCCAACGCCTCGGTTTCCCCCTCCACGGAGGCTGGGCAGCTGCTGGAGAACCCAGGGTCTGGAGCCCAGTACCCTCCTGGGGACTGGCTCCCTGTGCTGCCAGACTTGGGGGCCTGGTCTTGGGGAGGTGGACGCTCCCTCCTCTGCATTGGACTTACCAGCTGGCCACAGGGCCCCGCACATAAGAGGGATGCCTGGCTTCAGACTGGGGGAGGTTCTGAGTTTTCCTGGCCCAGATGTTGGGCTGGTAAGCCTAGGGGAGAAGAGCCTGGGGAAGCTGAGGCAGGATGTGCAGACTTGCTGTGTGACCTTGGGCAGATCACTGCATGTCTCTGATCCTCAGCTTCTCACTCTCAGACACCTCCCCACTTGCAAGGTGGTTTTGAGGCTCCCCAAACTAGCTCCAGGCACGGCAGGTCAGCCCAGCTGGGGAGGACACAGCCCACTTCACCCCCAAGGGCAGGAAGAAAGAGCAGCACAACCCAGACTCCAAAGCAAGCATACGGCGCAGACACCATTCTGCGTTTTCCTCTTTTTTTCTTTCTCTTCATTTTTAAAACAATATAGTGCGGAGCGCACTTCTCACAGTAGAATATAATGGTCAATTTTAGTATAAAAAAAAAAACATTCTCAGAGATTCGTAAATGCACTTAGTGCTTGAACAGGCCTTGGAGAGATACAGTACCGGGCCCGAGCGCCAGGAGGGCCGAGACGACGTGTGGGACTTCAGGCCTTGGGGACTTACTGGGGACCCCTGCCTCCCTTCCCCCCATGATCGAGGGGGGCCAGGCCCTGGAGGCCAGTCTGCCAGAAAGGAGTCGGATGGGGTCTCCCAAGTACAATCAGTAGGCTGCCCCCTTGCTGGCTCCCAGGAAACTTCCCTCCAAAGAAGGTAAGTGGGGTCCCTCTGAGTGGGGTCTAAGCTTGCAGGCCCATTGCCAGCCCCCATGGTGCCTCTTCCTCAGGATGCAGAAAATTGTAATAAATATACAAATCTAAGATGCAGGTGGTGTCCTCGAAGGAGGTCCCCTGTGCAGTGTGCAGCTTGCACAACTGTGCCCAGCAGCCCTATAAGATGTATTGGAGGGAAGGGGGGTAGATGTCGGTCCAGGGTACAGAGAATGGTGTGTGTGTCCGGGGGGGGGGGGGGCTGCAATTCTATTAAGAAGAAATCTGGAGGGGGGGGAGAGAGACTGAGGGAGGAGGGACTGAGGTGGGGGTGACGGTAGGACTCTGGGGTCGGAGTGGTCTTCACCTGGATCAACTGGCAGGGGGACCCTTTGGACCCCATGACTTCCTAAAGGCCCCCCTTTGCTCCTTTTTCCGGGAGACTGTGGGAAGAGACTCTGGAGCACCCCATTTCCTCCTGCACCCCACCCTGGTGGTCTGAGCCCCTCTTCTAGAGACCCAGAAAGAACCATTCCTGCGTTGCGGTGGCTTCTCTCTCCCTGCCTCTGCCGGCCTAGGTGGAGGGAGGCATGGACATCCCCGGGCCCTCCCCGTGTCCTGGGGTAGCCGATGGGGTGGGGCCTCCGAGGTCATCCAGCCTCTCTCGGTGCGCGGCACCGAGGCTTCCCTGCGGGATCGGCGGGCGCAGGGCCGGCCCCTGACCCCGCCCCTGACCCCGCCTGCAGCCTGCGTCCCCGCCCCGTCGGGCCGTCAGTCCGCGCCTGCGCCGGGCGGCCTTATCTGTAGACGGGCAGGCGGATGTGGGCGTGCTGGTGGTCGAGCAGCCGGGGCACGGCCACCGTCTCGTAGCCCTTGCCCAGCATCTGCTCCTTGATGCAGGGCGGCCGGATGTCGTTGATGAGGTACTCCAGGGACTGCAGGCTGCTGCTCAGCACCGACGTGTTGCACACGCTCTTGCTGGGCAGGCCCGAGAGGCCGTCGGCCGCGGGCCCCGCCAGCTCGCGCGCCGTCCCGGGCCCCAGCTCAGTCACCGCCACCGCCGCGGCGGCCGCCGGGTTGTAGCAGTCGCTGGTGGGGGTCACCAGCACGCTGTTCCAGGGGGCAGCAAAGTACTGGCCCACGGCGAAGCCGGCGGGCAGCCCCTCGTAGGCCCGCCCGCCGCACGCCTCGGGGGACTTGCTGGCCGCCGCGCTGCTGCTGCTGTAGGCGCGCAGGGGCTGCGGCGGCGGGGGCGGCTTCTGGGGCCACAGCAGGTAATCCAGGCCGCCGTCGGCGTAGCCTGCGGGCTTGGTGGCCCCCGCCAGGGTCAGGGCCGGCGTGGCTCCCTGGCCCAGCTCGGCGCCCTTGCGGCAGTCGGGCAGCCCCGCGGTGGCCGAGTAGGCCATGCTGGGGAAGCTGGGCACCGGGCCGTGCTTGGCCGGGCTGGGGTGGGGGACGGCCACACCCTGACAGGCGGCGGGTGCAGCGCCGGGGGCCTGGCACTGCTGGTTGAGCTGGTAGAGGATGCTGTGGATGGAGGGCAGGTTGGAGGGCGGCAGGGGCAGCCCGCGGCCGGGCAGGGGGATCACCGAGGCCGTGGTGGCCGCTGCGGGCAGGCTGGGTGGCGGGGCAGGCGCCTCGGGGGGCTTGGGGTAGGCGAGGGGCCCCAGGGTGCTGGGGGCTGGGTAGGGCGCAATGCCCACCTGCACGGTGGCAGGCGACAGCTTGGTCCGCTTGCCTTCTGCGCTCTTGAGCACGCCCTTGGCCGGCCCGGCGGGTGCGGCCCCGCTGGAGGAGGACACGGCGGCCTTGACGATGGCCAGCAGGCCCTGGTAGCCGCTGCTGTGCGGCGGGTAGGGGCTGTAGCGCTGGCCGCTGGTGTCGTAGCCGTTGACCGTGCGGCTGAGGTGCTTGTGCTGCGGCACCCGGATGTTGGTGGGGAAGATCTTGATGGACAGCGGGCTGTTGGCCACCTTCTCAGCGTAGGCGTCCAGCTCGGCCGGGCTCGGGTAGCGGGAGGAATGCATGGAGCTGGCCACCGTCTCACCTGTGGGGACAAAGGCACAGGTGAGGCCCGGAGACTGCACCCTCCTGCTGCCCACGACAGCTACGGGCCGCCCAGCCCCCTTGCCCTGTCTGTTCACTCCTTCCAAAATTAAAGCTGTGATGTACGGAAAGTGCAGGCCTCATGGGGTTGGTGGACTGTCACAAATGGAGCACACCCAGGTGACAGGTGGCACTGCGTCCCCTAAAGTCCCCAGCCACACCCGAGTTTTCCTGAGCTCTAACAGGACAGGCTGCTCATTTCTGGTTTCCATCCATGATGAGATGGAGCCCCACACCGCACCTGGTGTCGCTGGTGTCCTAGTGCCTGTGTCACTTAACGCTGTTGGTGAGATTCATCAGGGCCGCGTCACTCCTTCACTGCTATTAGCAGTGGGTGGGCACAACTGGCTCTGCCCCAGGGGAGTGGGTCATGATGGGTGGAGCTCCCCACCCCTCTAAAGCCCCTCCGGGTCCCCAGACATCTCTGAGTGCAGCTCACAGCCTCTCTGGGGCCAAGGTAGTAGGGACAGGGGCTGCACGAGATGGAAAGACCCTGGGCTCTGGGGCTGGATGGGACTGTGTGGCCCTGGGCAAGCTGGCTGCCCAGCTGAGCCTCAGTTTCCCTGCCTGTGGAATGGGTCTGCAGGGTGACCTGGAGGAATGAGGTCACCACTCTGGACCTTGGTTTCCTCATCTGTAAGATAGCGCAATGCTATTATTAAGGCTACCTGTGAGGGGGCAGTTTTAGTGGAACCTGGTGCTGTTAATACGCCCTCCGCAGAGCAAGGGGCTCGTGCTGCCCTTCCAGGTGGCACAGGTGGGGCTGTTGCTGCAGACCCTGCCACTGCCAGCCTCCTCACTGATCCTCCCGGAGCCTCCCCTGCTTGCCAGCTCCCAGTTGATCTGAGTGAAATGCCTGCCCTGGAGGCGCGTAGGCTAAGGGAATGGACCCAGCCAGGGGGGCAGGCAGCTCTCCAGAGGGAATGGATCCCAGTGAAGGGCTGAATCCACGGTGGCAGGGGTGAGGAGGGAGGGGAGTGACATGGCAGGGCAGAGGTCCATTGGTGAGGGAGAACGTCCCGGGTGGGTACCGTAAGTAACCTAGGATGAGCACAAAGGCCAGAGAAGGCTTGCATGGGAGGAGGGACGGAGAGGTGCCAGGGAGGGGCTCTCACAGGGGGCAGCGGGTCTCTCTGCAGGGGTACACTGGTGACATCTGGAGACGTGTCTGGTTGTCACAGCAGGGGGTGGAGGTGCTGCTGGCGTCTGGTGGGTAGACACACATCCCACAATGCACAGCATAGACCCCCACACACCAGGACCCCTCCAGCTCCAAATGTCAGCGGGAGCAGGATGGAGAAGCCCTGCCTGGGGGCAGCGGGCAGCCACGGGCGGAGTCCGGCAGCAGGAAGGGAGGAGGTGGCATCACACACCGTGTGGGGGCTGGGGCCATGTCCCTGTGTCCTAACCTGGGCAGGGCAGGTGAGCCCACGGTGGGTCCCCATCCCGACCCCGCCTGGGGCAGCCCCCCCCCAAGTGGCCTCAAATAAACTCAGTGTGGAGAATGGAAATGTCACTTTGGCCAACGGGGGAATCTTTCTCCGAGATTGGATTTAAACTACATTATACAAGCAATTTCATGGACACTTAGCGCCGCTCGGAGAGTCCCTCAAAAAAGGGACCCGTTCTTCATTTGCCAGCCATAAATCAGCAGTTGCTATAATGAGCACAAAAATGTCACTTTTATGCAATTTTACAGATGAACAAAACTGGTGAAATTAGCTGTGGTAACCCGACTAGAGTCAGCAAAACCAGCTGCCGGGGAAAAAATTATATCTGTATGTATTTTCGTTCCTCTTAAAGTCTCTTCCCAAGCAAGTTTCTGCCGTTGTGGTGTGAAAACTCATTTGTCCTCACCATTATACTTCCATTTGGAGTTTATCTTGAGTATCCAATGAGCCACCAACTGTGAAAATGATTAAATCTACAAAATCTATCTAATGGATGGAATAAATTAGGTGTTTAAAACCTTAAGAAGGGGGAAGAAAGCGACGAGTGTTCCCGGCCTCCACTAATTCAAGGAAGGGGCCTCCTGCCCCCACCTGGCCAGCTGGGCTCCTGGAGGGTGGTGCGGACCCTCTGGCTCTTGTGGGAGATGACCGTGGTGCCAGTACATGGTGCCATTTGGCAGGCACATACAGATGCCAGCCTCTGTGCCCAGGGCTCTTCTTGGTGGCTCTTGTTTGGAGGACTTGGTGGCTCTTGGGGTCACAGATAGGAAACAGGTCCTGGCATTCGGGAACTGACCCCCGAGACCCACCACTGCCCAGTGATTCTGACCCCTGAATTCACACGCTCTTGTGGCACCTGGGACCCACGCCAAGCAGGGCTGGTGAACCGTGTGGCTGGAACACGTGGATGGGGGCGTGTGGCTGCCGGAGCTTGGTCACAAGAGATGTCGTGGCTGCCTCTGGCTCTGCCTGCATCACTTGCTTAGGGGGGAGCCTCTGTCACAAGCGGATGCTGGAGCAGCCTCTGGAGAAAGGGAGATGAGTGGAGGCCTCTGGTCTCCGGGTCAGAGGGCAGCGCTGGGTGACGTGCTGACCGTACCCTCCTGAGAGACGCCAAGCCACTCAAGGCAAGGGAGAGAGCAGAGGATGGCTGCTGTTTTAAGCCTCTGAGCTCTGGAGTCACCTGCCACACAGAAGAGATGACACCCAGGGTCTCCACTATACAGATGAGGCAAGGACACCAGGTTTCCCACACAGCCAGCAGAGCGGAGCTGGGACCCATGTCCTCTGTCCACTTTCTGGGTCACAGTCACCCTGCCCAACCCAGGCAGGGCCCACGGAGAGCTGGGGGACTCCTGAGCCTCACTCTTCTTCAATAGAATTAAAAGGACCAGAGTCAGCCCAGGGGCTGGCGGACGCAGGAAGGTGACCCGCTGGAAGCCCCCCAGTCAGGCAGCTGTCACTGCTGTCCAGGCCCCTGCCCTGCCCTGCCCCTCTGGCGGCCTGGAGCAGAGTCCCGCCTGGACAGACCCCAGCGGTCCCCCACACCCTCCAGACTCGGGCTCCTGTGTCGGCTTGCTGTGCACCGCTGTGTCCCCAGTGCTCCCAGGAAGAAGCAGATGCTCAAAGACACCACAGTGAAGGAATGGCGAGGCCATGACCCGGTGCACCATCCCGCCGCTCCCTGTGCCCCAGCAGCCGTCGCCCAGGCCCCGCCTGCCATCTCCTGGTCCCCCTGCATGCGGGCAGCATACTGGGCCTCGGGGACCAGCACCCATCAAAGCCGATAAAACCCCCCCGCCTGGTGGAGCTGGCATCTGGGGGTGGGGGGCAGCAATCCATCCCGCCAACAGGGACCAAGCAGGAAGGATGAGTGACGTGACTCTTGCAGAGCGGAGCCTGGCGCCTCTGACTTGGTGCGGCTGCTGGATTCCACTGAAGAGCCTAGAAGTGATGCGACTTCCACAGCCCCCTATAAAGCCCATGCGACTGGGGTGACGGCTGGAGGCAGACTAGAGGTGTGGGGACCTCGGGGCACTGTGGGGACCTGGGTGTGGACCCCATGGAGGAGCCCGGGCTGGGGAAGACCCAGGTCACAGGACCCAGCTGGTGATGGGGGAGGGGCCCCTCAGCCGGCCAGCAGCAGGGACTGGATGGGCACCAGAGTGAGCTTTCCCAGGCTCTGACGAGGTGGGGGATAGGTGGGTGGAGAGAGGAGTTGGTCTCCCTCCTTCCCTCTCCAAGGTGGAACCAGAACTTGAAGGAAACAGCCCCCGGCGTCAACAGGGGCCACCCGAGGAGCGGCAGAGCATCCCGAGGCGGAAGGGAATTTTATCTTTGCCTCTCTGTCATCACCAGTGGCCAGCTATGACCGCTATTGACTCAGGATGGGGGAGGTCCCCCTGGGTCCTGGGGGAGGGGATGCTCTTAACCTCTGCATCTGGCCCTCTTCCAAACATCCTCCTTAACCCTTGGCATCGAGCAGCCTGCTGGCCACTCCAGCTGCCCCTTCTGCCCAGGGCAGAGGAGAGGCTGTGGCAGATGGCCTTATGGCACCTGAGGGGTGGAGTGGCATGCAGGCTCCTAGTCACAGACCTGGTTCAAATCCCAGCTCAGCTACACACTTGCTGTGTGACCTCGGTCATGTGAATGCCCCTCTCTGAACCTCAGTTTTCTCTTAGTATGTAAAATGGGTCAGTGCTGCTGCTGACCTTGCAGGGGGGGGGCTTCCTGGGGAGCGTAAAGGGCTGGCCTGGCTTGGTCCCTAGGCCCATGGGCACCGTGGGTGTTGCGGGTGTTGGTTTCGCTGAAGCCGCCACCACCTTGGGCTGCCAGGCTCAGACCTCCCTCGGTGCCTCCTCCCTTTCAGGCCCCTGGAGGGCGCACTGTGACCTGGAGAGAAGGGGGACTGGGGTGTGCAGAAACCAAGGTGCCCGGCTGTGAACCAGGCCACGCCTCGTGCTGTCCCTCACCCTGACCGTCTCTGCCCACCGAGGCCCCCATTAAGGGCTTGTCAGGAAATGTAAAAGGCTGGCTGGAAGTGCTGCGAATCGTCACCGCCATTAAGTTAATGTTATGGGCCTTTTACAGGTGCGTTAAATAGACGCGGTTATTAACGAGTATATTAAGCCAATTAAAGCCAGCCCTCTGAGTGGGATTTAATGTCGCCACAGGGAGACGGGAGGGGGCCTGGCTGCATGGCTGCCTGCTGGAGGCTGGGGGGGAGGGGGTGGGTGGCGACCACCGTGGTGAGAAGCTAAGCTCCGCTGGAGACCAGTCACCAGTTCTGCCACTTGCTGTGGGTCACCTTGGGCACGGGAGCCTCCAGTCCTCATCTGCAAGAAGGGACGAAGGGGTGGCCTTGTCACAGGGGATGCCGAATCACTGTGGTGCTCGATGCCCCCTGGAGCCCCTAACAGAACTGCTCATCCAGGGCGAGGTGGGACGCCAGCCCAGCATTCCTGGCCTCACTGTCCCCTGGGGACCGAGG